GGTGTATATAATGAGCGAGAAAAATTAATTATTTTAGCTACGTTTGAGACGTTCTCCTACTGCTTTCGTTTTCTTCGACTTGAAAGTTTCTTCAATTTTCCACACCACAGCCTTAGGTGTTAAATTAAGATTAATTTTCACCAGCTCGCCCGCACAATCACTATTATTTCGGTAGAGATTCGTTGGTGAGAAAAATACAAAACCGCTTCAAACCGAAAACCCCGATTTCTGGAAATTTTTCCTCATCTAGGACTGTTTTTGTCGAAACCCTCTCCTTTTAGACTGGAACCATTCGTTGTTAATTAAAATCTTTAAGCGATAATCACCGTTTTTAGGGTACGTCCAATACAAATCACCAAAATACATCGATATCTGAAAAATAAGTTAGGTCAGAAAACGACCCGCCAATTTTCCTTGTAAAATAACACTGAAAAATGTACGGAATTTCTTTTTTTAACACACACTCGGTTGTCAAGCTGCATGCTCTATCGTGTTTCTCAATAACTTGTCACGCAGACCTTTTATGTGTGTACTGCATCCTGCGAAAGCAAACTAGCGCTGCTCAAAACGTGTTACTAATCAAAATAAAGCACACTGCTCCAACGACGAGTAATTGATGGGCGCAGTGAATTTTAATGCTAGAACAAAGTGTCTTACTTCACAAGTATGAATTTTGTATGAACTCAGTATAAAGAAAGGATAATTTAAGTCAGACCTTTATTATGAAAATAGAAGGCATGCGGGGTGAGGCCGTAAGGACAAGCGTATTTGACACGTCACGCAAAATTCGAATTGCAAACGTACATACCTCAAACTGTGCACGCGAGAAGATTTGTGTCCAGTTTTTTAGAGCTGATTTCAGAGGTGGTAAAATACTAAAAATAAAGTGAATACAGCGGCCGTGTTTTTTTTTTTTTGTTTTTTTTTGACAATGTCTTATGCCAGGTGGTTCCTTGTCTGCTCACTCGCTTGTGGTTTGGTAGCTCGCTCCCGGACGACTTGCCGAACGCAAAAACGCCGAGAACGCCCCGTCAACGCTAGCGATGAGCAGGATAATCGCGCTAAGTAATCATTTTAATGAAACGTACGAACGACGACCACCTGGGAGCAAGCTCGCCAGCCAGTGCGCAGACGACGACCATCCGGTAGAGAACATAAAAAATGCACCGCCGCCGTTTTTCCGCTATTTTTTTAAGATTTCAGCACCTCTGAGTTGAACGCTTAAAAAAAACAAAAAAACATAATACCGTATTTTCCGGACTATAGCCCGCACCCAATGCATAGTCCGCACCTGGTGCTTAGTCGACACGAAAATCTTCTGATAGACGGCACACGTTTACAAATGTCTGCTTTTTAGCTCACAATAAAGCCTATAATGTGCATAAATCATCATTAATATACACAAAATTCGTCACGTCTCGTCATAATAAACGATCTTGAAAAACAAAATTCGTGTATAGTCCGCACGCGTAGATAGTCCGCACAGCCAGAAATTTCAACTTTTAAACATGTGTAGTCCGCGGACTATAGCCCGGAAAATACGGTGCCTTTCTTTTCTTTTTTTTTTTCTTTTGAAACGACGTTTGCGTTCTCGATTTTAGGTATTTTAATTAAATTCATTCCGCTTAATGTTTCACGAACAGCTCGAGGACTTAAGAGCGTGCGCATATTACAATCAATAATAATTTAAAAAAAAAAACAGATACAAAAAACAAACAAGCTGGACGTCATTTTTGAGAGATAAAAGGAAATCAACAAAACTACATAAAACAACAGATCAAGGCTGTTTGTCAAGTGGCCAACAAGGCTCTTTCAAAAGTTATGAGGGGCGAAAACAAGTCTAAATCGCTCCTATCGTTATTATAAAGGAGCTGTAGGCCTGTCAGTGGGGGCTAAACACAAACCTTCTGCGGATAAAAGAGAAATGAAAGTCGTATACGCTTCTGAGGGACACACACACAAAAAAAATCGCAATTCAAAACAAGGGTGCATCGAGCGTCGCGTTCACTACCTTATACAAAAATACAAAGTCTCGCGTTAATTTTCTTACGTGCATGTACAATACGATAAAAATTCGCATTTCGCCAGGCGTTCCAAATGTGCCGGTCCTTATACAGCCTCACCTTGTACGTACGATGAAGAGATATATTTTCGGGAATGCTCTCAGCAGGGTGGAAAATTCTTTATTCCGCGGACAACAATCATAACACAGATTCATATCCTCTCAAAGGCGAAAGCTTGTAAAAATAACGCTCGCAAAGACGCAGCCGAACAAACAAAGGAGGCTCGTGTCCGAAATGGAAAGTCAATCCAATCCGTGTCGTCCAACACAAAGCCGCAAGACCAATCCATACTTCGTTCATCCCTAAGCTGACAATGCGGTTGAGGCTACTGTGCTTGCCGGACCAACCATAAGTCTATCTCTCCTCCCTCGCGATCACTGTCCCGCCCATACCCACGTGCATAGAAGGCGGTCACGTGATAAAAGGGCGGCGTGTGATTGGTCCGGCGAGTGTGTAGCTTCCACCGCACTGTCAGCTTAGTTGCCAAACGGTGCATAGCGGGGCCTACGATGGCAGTGGTTGTCCGAAAACGTGACGGGACTGCAGATCTCGTCACACAGCGGCGGACGTCGAGCAAGTGGGGGCACGAGCGGCGAGAGTAATGGTCGCGATGCACATTGACCCAGATCCATTGAGCGCCGCGTCCTCCGTGGGACCACACCTGCCCCTCCAAAGAAAGGTCCTCAAGGACGCTTCCGCAGTCTCAAAGACTCTACGCGAATTCAGCTTAGAAGCCCTTGGGAATTTACAAAGGTTCAGACGCAATCAGGAAAGTTTTCACTGTTGTTCCGAAGATGAACATAGGAACCTTGGAGAAGCGTAATTTTATTGGTGTCAACTATGAGAGTGACCATCGGCATTCTACAAGCATATACACAGCGAGTAGGTGTTCCGGACTTTGGCGCATCGGAAGGCAATGAGGGGCATAACAAACAAAGGGCAACAAACAGAGAAGGAAGCCAAGCGTGCACAGGGATTGGTTGAGGTCCGAGAAGGGGGACAAAGCACGTGAGCGTAATAACTGGGTGAACGAAAGCACAAGATGCACAAAAAGCCATCTAGAACTGTTCGTTTTTATTCAATAAAGCCCAGCAAAACAATATGATAACAAAAACAAGCTTTAATAAAAGCAATTTAGTGCCCCTTTAGGTCGTTGTAACCTTTAAGTAGACAAATTCGCATGTCGGCTCTCTAAAATGTTGGCGTATAAATGTTTCTACTCCTGGACATCTGCCCGTGTACAGAGAGAAAAACCGACAGAAATATAATGCAATGATATATTACGACTTCACTCGACCTTACAACACGATGGACCATAATCCGGGGGCCAGACACTTTGGCACTTCAGCTTGGTACTAGAGCTCTCGCTTTTAAACAGGAAGAATTGTTATGCTGGAGCATATCTATTTATTTAATTATTTTATTTCTCAGAGCTCGCGCACAAAACACGTAGGTAATCAATGCTGGCTTGGAGAACTCAAAACGGAACATTCTGGAAGTCGTGAAGTGGCAACCGACGTTACTCCGAGATTTTTTTTTTTTTTTTTGAGCCATGAAGAAGTTAAGCCTCGGCGGACCGCTGGCTTCTATAGACCCACTCAACTCCCTGACGTCACGCCACTGCGGGGGCGCTGCTGTCGGCTCTGCGCATGCGCAGACGCTTCGCTTCACGCAAATCTGGTTTCTGCGCACGGGCACTCCCCGCACTTGGTACGGGCAAACGCAGAATTGTTTGTAAGCAGCGTGTTGGTCTATTCTGAGGCTTCCAGAATATTCTATTGCAAGGAAACATCAGTCGTCCTTTGGCAAAACGCATAAATTATTCCACTTTCAGGCATCCTCGAGGTATCTTCTATAAGAAGGTTAGCAGACAAGGTATCGAACTCAAAGATGGCGTCCATCAAGGGCTGAGACAACTCCATTCGGGACAGATGAGAGCCGTGTGAGCCTATACCGTAGCGCTCACTTTATCCCTTTTGTGTAGTTTTGAATGGGTTTCGCGTGTATACGCTCGTCTTTGTTGCCGTTGCCTTCGAACTGACTGCGGTAGGTGGAGCGTGAAGGACGGCGCGGATGACGGCAAGTCACGACTGGGAGTCCCGTTTAGCTTCCGGGCCGACCAACGGGCGTCTGCTCGAAGCCCCGACCTCATTAACCGGAACGTGTTAATAAGGAGCAAGACGAGCGTGGGGGTAATACATGAATGCATTAATGTATTAGCCCGTGTGGCCAACACGGTCACCTCCAACGGGTCACGGTGGCCGTGTAGGTTGTGTAGATATTTGCATAAAAAGGAAGCATAAAATGGGAAGGGCCGAGTATGATTGGCGGGTGCATAGCTTATTGCTCGAAACTTCGTCAAGACTAGAAAAATCATCTCGATCATCCTCTTGAAAATTGTTACCTTTCCCGACAAGATAAGACAGATTTCTTTGTATTTTTTTTTTTTCATTGCCTTCAATACGAGGTCGGTGCTTTTACCGGTTCTTCTGTAGGTCCGAGCGTGGTACGAATTTGTAGCAAAAACAAATCAAGGTTGAGATGGAGTAGCCTCGAAAGATATTCCGCCTCGTGCTTTGATGTTAATGTTTTTGCAAGATCCGATTGAGTTGATTCTTACTATTCCAGCACAATAAGACAATACTCAAGATATCTGCCCGCAAGCTGACGGCTACTCTTTTTGGAAAGCACAGTATACGTTAGTTTGCTGTAAGAGACACGGCTGTGTGGCCCGTAGCTTCGGAAGGCTTTCCTTGCATCAGTGCTCGTCAAAACAAAACAATTTCTCAGAGCTACGCTCTTCAGCCTGTCTCTGCGTGCTTCACACAACGTGTGGGCTAAAATATGGTGCCTACCGTGCAAGGTTTGGCGGAACTACTTTCTTTTTCGGAGTCAGTAAGACCAGGGCGTTAACGTTCGGTGATTTTTCTTCCGCAGAGCGAGTTCGTGTCGTCCGGCTACTACGTGCAACAGCGACCCTGGACACCAACCAAGAGGAGGGGACCCATCTCGTCCGACTTCAAAACCCCAGGACCGGGCGCGTTCACCATTCCATCAACCATCGGTGAGCTGGGACTAGAAGTTTATTTGCACACCTACACTACTTCTGAAGAAACTTGTAATGTAGGCCTCTATTTCACATTCGCTGCAGATAAATCAGAAGTGTCGATTCGTCGTCAAGAACCACAAAGCACGAAATCCTCTTGTTGTTCTGTTCCACACGGAACTCAATGCGAAGATACTTGATTTTATTGTCGTTTCTTTGTTTAGGTTACCAAACCAGCACAAATGTCACCAAGGGCTCGAAGGCTCCGTCCTACTCATTCGGCGCTAAGTAAGTGCTCACTATTTTTTTTTACGTAACAATAATTTAAGTACAGAAGCCAAAGTGTCCGATTTTAAATTTTTTTATACTGAAAGCCTGTTAAGTGTGTTCTTTTGAGCTGCAGATCGCCTTGTTTATGATGACCTGGTTGTAATCGGGGTCGTCTATCAAATCCGTCTAAATTCTAGTCCCGATTAGACATATAACTTTCAAAAAGGGTTCGTCTACTGTTTCCAAATACTGGCCCTAGTACAACCCAGCATATCCGCGGATAATCCGTGGATATCCGCGGATATCCGTTGTAAACTGGCGGATTCGTATAAAAATGAATAATATTTAGCGGATTGCGGATCGAATGCGGATATCCGCGGGTCCGTATCCATTTTTACCGAGGCGGTCCATAAACGCGTTCGACCGCATAGTGTAGAGCGAATAAGTGAGTATCACTATGAAGTGCTTCATCGAATGTGTTGCGGGGGCAAGCTATATACTCTTTCAGGTAAAAGGTGTCAATCAGAGAGAAAATTGTTCTTTACTTCAATAAGGATTTGATTCTCACCTAAGATCACCTTAGAACGTTCTATCAGAAATGTAAAGACTGAAGAAGTATCAGTCGCCCCGGCAAGCATGTTTTTGTTTGGCAGGAAAAAGGCGGCGACGTTCTGGGGGCAAAAAACACGCACACACACACACACACACACAGAAAACGTACAAGCTATAAGAAAGTAGACGAAGCCTGCCAGTGTCTTTTTTGCCTACAAATATAGATTGAGGAGATTGAATTCATTCCTTTGAAGTGGTGGAACTTGCGCCAGCAGGAGCTTCCCGACCTCATCATAGTAGCCCAGTTTGTGCATGCCATCCCAACATCAAGTGCACCAACGGAGAAATACTTATCTTTAGCAAGTATTAATTTAAGAGGGGCGAACCAGTCAGAATCCGTCCGTATTGACGATATTCTGTTTCTTCTACACAGCTACCTAGACAAGTGAAACGTTGTGTCTTAACTGCGATCATCTTTCGAGCGATACGAAGCGTCTCTTGAAGGATGATCGCTTATTTTATAAATACGATAAAGCAGAATACAATAAAATGACTTTCATCGTATTCTGGCACAAAGAAGGTAACCAGACGGATTTAGGATACCATCCAGAAGCTTCTTTTTTTAATTTTTATTCGTGCTTAATTTTATGATGTAAAATGAATGCGCGAATTGAGGGTCGTATGCGGTTCTGAATTTTGCGGATGCGGTGCGGATGCAAAGCCTGCGGATGCGAATCGGATGCGAATACTATTATTTAGGAACATAGCGGATGTGGTTCGTATGCGGATGATCAAACCGTTATCTGCGCAGGATAGAGGGTACCTATGTGCTTATATATGGTGCCGCCAAAATGATGTAATAGGGTTTCCACTTTCAAACTCATGCGAACATACATCTACAAATATATCTGAATTAGTCGCAAAAAATTATGAATAGATTTTCCTGGATTTTTAAAATACAAATGCGACAGCATATGGTCCGAAACGATTAGCTACAAGCGCGTAGTGCTTAATGATCCGAAACACAATCTGCTCCGTATTTTACTTCATTTTGAACGGATAGCTCTATTTTTTCTCCCAAAGGACCACTTCCAGCGAGCGATCGAAGATCAGTCATCGGAGGGCGCGATGCATCACGGGAGACGTGACGTCAACTGTTTCAGCGCAAGCACGGCTGCTTGCTGGCTGGCATGGTTACGGGCTCCGCCTCCAATTGGTGTCGTCTACGCGTTACAACCTGCCAGTTTTAGTTGCCCCTTCCCGCTCCCCGCAGGAGTTGAATATTGCAGGAGAAATAATAAATCCGTAAAAGACGAGCGTGCTGCTCAGGAATCAAGATACTAAATATGAGGAAGGGACAAGGGTCCCTCTGTCCCTTCCTCATATAAAGAAATTTGGTTGGACAGGGCTTGCGCGCACGCAGTTTGCCGCTGCACTACCGCGGAGCGGCGCTGCTTTTAAGTGCAGAGTAACGTAACGACATTCGGTGTATTCCTTCCAAACATTTTTGGTGCATTTTCGAGCAAACAATTGGCGTCTCTGTGTGTGGCCAGAACTTCTAGCGTATAAAGTATGCTCTAGAAGTTCGTTGCAGTATTCCTTGAAGGCGAAAAGCAACAATACAAACATACAAGCTGTGCCTATAAACATGGAACAAGAACCGAAGCGTCGCAAATCTTATGCACTGCAGAACTAGGCCCTTTGGTAAAGATTATTTTACTTTCGCCTAAAGGTGATGGAATTATGATAGCTTGAACTTTAGTATTTGTTCTCCCACATTCAATGTAAGAGCGCGACATTCCAATATTTCAGGCTTTCAATTTGATTCAATTATATAAATTGGCATAAATGCTGACAAACGGGCCAAAAAGCAAGCACTGTGTATACATTCAACCTTCTCTGTGAATCTGCAGGTTACGCCTCGTTCATTCGTTATGTGTGTACAAATTTTTAGCAAAGTTTTCTCAAAGAATCTCTATGCTTTTTTCTCCATATGAAGGTTTTTCGCATAAATTCTTTTTTTTTTAATGACCCTAGTCCTAGTAAAGATGGCTATGAAGAGTTCGTAGACATTAAGAGATATTCAGAAATCAGCAAAAGTAACAAAAGTCGCATTCTTGTCAAATAATTGCCACCATTGAGTTCGTAACCATAAGAAGCGTATTACATACACGTCTTACCCTCTGAAGCGCAGCGTATCTGAAATCCGCGTCGCACCCTCAGGATAGAAGAAAAGAAGGACCTTTTCGTTCCTGGACCCGGAACGTACAACATCGCCGGTCTTTCCGAGAAAGGCAAGGAAACTGTGCCGGCGCCCTTCATTGCCGCCAAGATCAAGGAACCCGAGGGCTTCAAGACACCAGCGCCCGGAGCCTACAACCCGGAGAAGGCCGAAGGCAGCGTACTCAACGCGGCTCCCAGCTACACTTTCGGGTCCAAGATCAAGGATCCCAAGCCAGCCGACATCCCCGGTGAGTGATCGATGTACTTCTACTCAAGAGTTCGATTATGACCCCTGGAAGCCGCCATTAGTAGGCTGCTGGTATGGAGGGTGTCACTTGATCTTCGAGTCTTGTCAGGTGTGGCAGGTTGTTCCGGAGCATCCGGGTAGGAGGGTATGACTTTGATCAGAAATGCGGTTTGAGGCTATAGTATCTGGCCCTTAAGGTAGTTGTTGTTGTTGTTGAGGAGGGTGGAACGCTGACGCCCGGTCATCTTCACAAAAAACGACACACTTCGCACTAGTTGTGTTATTGTGTTACAATTGTGTTACAATGTTTGTGTCCTGAAAATTGATAAGATTGCGTCTCATGTATTGCCTTTTTGTAATAAAAGTTATTTAGGAAAGTTACGTTTCGCGAAGATCATTTCACAGATAATTGACCCTTTCCAACGGTTGCCTGCACGCCATTGTTTGGGCACATACTCAGAGCATGCACTGGACACGAAGGCTGCGTCAGTGTTCGGCGTGAACTAGGCTAAGTCTCGGATCCAATTACACATTTTGTGACCAAAAAATGGTGACCACCGATGTTGCCTGGTGAACTTTCGAAAAGCGTGTATTATAATAATATAGAACTTCAAACCTTTTAACGAGTTATCCTGACTGTACAGCTGCATATATCAAAATATGTAAAGGGGTGGTCGGGATGCTTTTCAGTAGACTGGCAATAACTGTCTTACTCCTAGACCTCCCCAGGCTGCACATGCATATGGCTCTGCAGACGTCCTCAGCATTTTCTTTACGTGCCATAGATGCTCCGTGGACGTGGATTAGACGTGTGTGCCACCTAGGTCTTATGAAAGAGGTGTATTCAACAGGTCAACAATACGATATTTGCTACACGATATTAAGCTTCCACGCAACAGCAACAGTTTCATAATGAGATTACTGTGGCTGGCAGTCGTCGAACTTCGAATTTCAAAACTTCAAAACGTTGATTTGAAATTGGTACATAATTCTGTGCTTGCCCAGATGAAGAAATTTGATTTTCATGTACGCAAAGCATGCTCTTCATTTCTCGTTGCAATATCCACAATATAAAGACATCACGTATCATTAGAATTGACTACGTTTTATAAAGAATTAATTTTTTCCAATACCAATCATCGTATTAGAAACAGAATTTCTCTATAGTTTATCGGGTTATTTTTCTGAGAAGAGTGGTTCGTTTTCATTCCGAAAGGTTGTATATAATGCATTTTAATACAAATGCAACTTCAGTGTGTGCCATCAAATTACATTCTAAAAAAAGCCGGTGAGTTTGCTTTTCCGCACAACACTCGGAGAGCCAATCACCGCAACTTACGGAGGCAGCTCAGCGAATGAAAGTGTCCAAACATATGTTTAGACCAAAAAACGCAGTCTGAGTTGTGACATTAAAGGGGCACTGACACATCAAAAACATATTTTTTTTTTATTATCCGAAACGATTAAAAAACGATGCCGGGACATTACCCTCAAAATTTGAGATTTGGGAATTCAGTATTCGTGAAGTAAAAAAACAATTTCCAAATGCCGAATTCGAAGTTCCCGCGCGATCGGCGCCGGTGCCTTGACGTCAAAAATTGCGGAGACCTGAGAGTCGACTTCCTTTCACCACTCCCTGCTGTTGCCATGGCGACCCAAAGCGAGGAGGAAAGGAGCGAGCGGTGGCGTTCCGGCGGACCGGTTTTGAGCGGTGTCGCCTGTTTTCCGTTGGAGGATACAAATCCAGGAGACGGCACCACAGCGAACTCCCGATTTTTGGTATTTCAAAAAGAAGGGCCGTAGTGCGTTCGCAATTGCGTTAAAAAACATGTTTTAGGATTGCCGTAATTAAATGTTATAGAGATGTCGCCTACAAAGCTTCTAAATTTCCTGATTTTTGACGTCACCGATCAAAAGAAGCGAGGAGGCGAGAGGCGGGAAAATCAAACGCCAAAAATAAAAAAGCGCGCGCGCGCGCGCGCGGGAAAATTTTTTTTTGCGATGCGGTTTTTTTTGCGTGTTTATGACTGCAACTTGCATCGTTTTAGACAATAAAAATAAATACGACCTTTGGGGTGTCAGTGCCCCTTTAAGCAACGCAAGCGTGACGTTTTGCATTGCTTAATGTCACAACTCAGACGGCGTTTTTTGGTCTAAACATATGTTTCGGCAGTGTCATTCGCTGAGCTGCCTCCGTAAATTGCGGTGAATGGCTCTCCGAGTGCTATGCGTGAAAGCAGACGCACAAACATTTTTTTGAAGTGAATGCAATGTACTATAAACAATGCAAGGCACTATAAAACTCCTGAAAGTATAATAGTACGCCACAAGCACAAACTTCCTTCAAATGCATTACTACCAAGAATCAAGGAACAGGCTGCTGAGACACCTATTGAACAGCTTATTCACCTTCTAATAAATCGCGACATAATAGAATATAATTGCTAGGCTTCGACTACGTGAAATACAGTTGATCGGCTGTGTAAAAGCCGATGCACTTAAAAAAAACAAAAACGGAACATTACAAATAGGATTCAAAACACCACGTGTGTGAAAATCGCTCAACTGAATTCAAATGAATAATAGTACGTGCATACACTGCTTCATCCATTAAAGTGGGCATAACTTACTGTGTAAACTGTTATAAAGGTTAGTGTATAAACCATGCATTAAGGCCCGTTCACACACTTGTGCTTGACTACGACCAACCGAGATAAACCCAGTTTTAAGCTCGGCTTACGACAGCCTCTTCAGCAGAGAATCCGCTTGTAAGGCGTCGCAAGAGTCTTAAAACCCGATCTTGTCTCAGTCGGTCGTAGTAGCTAGCACGTATGTGAACGGGCCTTTAGGATTTCGGGATTTCAGATAAATCCACGAAACAAAAATACTCAAAGAAAAAACCTGGTCAAATGTTCGTCGATTCGGGTTCATTGGGTAAACTCAGAATTTTGAGATTAAGGTGTTTAGAAAAAAAAAAAACTAAAACGGCAATCTACAAATAGGTTTGAGTTACCGTTTAGTGTAGGGTGAGTGAGTGACCTTGAGTAGGGGCAACGCCATTTTCCTTTCAAATATCAGACCACAGACAAAAGGATTATACTGTTCATCTCTTCAGATGTTCCTTCAGGACAACAAACCAAAATACTTCTGGGCAACGAAAAAATGCTACTATTCTCGTTTCCAGTTTAGACCCTACTATTTGTGTTTCTAAAGGAAGGAGGGATTTCTTTTTATAGGACTGAAAGCTATATGAGTTCGTACATATCATTGGAGGGGGAGGGGTGCAGCTGAAGTCAATTCAGCACACCACCCTGCTCTGCAGGCGGTGAAATGGAAAGGGAAGGAAACGTGCTCCCCATCGACTACGTCCAGGAGTTTTTTTTTTTTTTTATTTTAAAGCATCGACGACTTCTGAAGCAACACTTTTTTTTTAAGTTTTCTTGTGAGAAAGTTAATAACCCCAATGACAAGGACGCCAACGCCGAATCCAACTGGAGAAATATTGTCTGATACAGGCGAGTTCTTATCAAGATTGTGCGCTTTTACGTCCTGGTATTCTTTTTTCCTTTTTGTATTGACTTTTGAACAATTGAAATTTAACACAATAAATTTAAGCTCCAAATTAGAAAAAGAAGTGAAAATGTATAAAAAAATAAATTTTGAAACACTCAGAATGTTGGGCAAAAAAAAAAAATTAACTCCCAAAAGCACCCTCCGAATTTCATTTAAAAAAAAAAAAAACTCCGAAAACACGATATCTCAATTATAGTGTAATGTTAGTGTTTTCATAATTTTTTTTTAACCGAAGCTCAGTCGCTTTCCTGTGTGTTAGGACCTGGGTACTTTCGTGAGATGGGGGAGTACCTTCATTTAACGTTACATAACTTTGTTACCTTGCCCGACGTCTACGGTGAGAGCGCATCGAAACCTCAACAGTCATGTTCGGTCTTTCAGAGTCCGACCACCAGAGCCAGGAAGAAACTCGCCGCCCGCTCATAATCAGGAACAGGCGTGCTCCCAGATTCTCATTCGGACTAAAATTAAAGAGCCTCTTCAGACCCAACGACTACCCGGGTAAAAAAACGCATTCAAATCACATCTGCACTTCGAGCACTGCACCTTAAGCATCGGAATACATCTTATGGATAGATGCCTGGGATGCTATGCACTTAGCACGCTTCACCTGCACCATAGTTCGCGCCATGAGTGTCTAAAAGTTGCATGTTCTGCGCAAATAAACCGCGAGACAGATAAAATATATAAAACAACAATTAGCAGTCTTTTTCCTTGTGATCATGCTAACATCTACTCATAAATACTTCGTAGATTGAATTAAGATTCGACCTAGTCCTCGAATGTCTTAAAATATAAAATTAGTTTTCAACATCAGGGAACGCATTTCGTACATTCAGTTCGTGGCAGTTGTTATATTGTCTGCAGCTTAATTTAAAGGATCGATTACCTTAAAGGGGCCATCAAATGCATTTTGGGCTGGGATATGTGATTTTAGACTGGTATTTTACTAATCGCATATTGTTTAATGGGCCACAACAAAAGCGTTAGATTGTCAACAGCCTGAATTTAGGCACGATAATTTGAATATTGCGCACTATTTCGTGCGTCCTTTACTTTAAAGCCCTCCGCTTTCTCACTGCGATGCATCTGCATTACCCAAAGCTCGTCAGCCGGCTCCAGTTTACTGTACACGAGGATTGCGTCACTCTATCGTGTGCGCTCGTCGACAATCAATCTGTCGACGAATATTTAAATTCCCGTTCGTGGTCAATGAGTACCGTGACGGCACTAATCATCACTTGCGAGTGATAATTTCCGTGGTGTGCTTAAAAAGTACGGTGGAAGGTTGGGGTCATCGGACCAGTGTCCAAGCACTTCATGACCACGTGATTTCTCATTTTGCTTTTCAGTTGAGGATGAAATATAAATACGAAGTAGTTAAAAACTTATTTCGTGGTCCCTTTAAAGACGAACTTCATGTATATTATAACATGTTTAACATCTTCATGGTATTACAGAACATAAGGCTTCGCCTATTGTTTAAATGTGTCGTGAACATTGTGACATTAAAGAATCATGATGCTTTGTGGAACTCAACAATAAAGTTCGCGTTTGCGCCCTGAGAAAAAGCCCAAAGTGTAATATGCTAAGTCCCGCCATGCTTGCTTGTTTTATCATTCTTTTCGTTGGTGATTACGGCGGACGCTTGTTTTCAGCGCCTGGGACTTACGACGTCGAAAAAAGCCAGCCAGTAGTCTACCCTAAATCCCCTTCCTTCTCCATACGTCGTAGATTTCCCGACCCAAGTCCGGATGTGTTTCCTGGTTAGTGCTCCACGCACGCTTATCAGCCCGCTACGCACTTTGACCCCTAGCAACATGCCCTACCTATACTCTGCACAATTCGAGTGTCTCGAGGACTTGCGGCGCGAGTTGTAATCGACTCAACCTTGCAGCACCCGGAGACTACAGGCCGGAAAAAGCAGACGATACGGTGTACCCAAAATCACCAAGTTACTCTATACGCCGCAAGTTTAAATCTACAGATCCCGAAAGCTTCCAGTACCCCGGTCAGTACCATCGTGTTCGCTGTGCACAACTCAGTTTACGTGATCATACGCAATCTAAAGTAAACACTGTACATTTATGATATTTTCATCATGTCTGTAATCAGCATACTCCTTCTCACCTTATCGGTCTATCGATGTTGCTGCTAAACATTGACTCTCAAACAGCTCCGGATGCCTACAGTCCCGAACGCTGTCAAGGGGCACTTGCCAAAGCACCCAAGTATTCTTTCGGAAACAAGCACAAAGACAAAGAACCAGACAACTATGAAGTACCCGGTAATACAAACCTTCAATATCCCATCTTTGATATATTCGAGACTTGCTGGAAAATCATGATTATTAAAGTCTGCTGCAGCATGTCCGCGAATATTATCCAATTGTTACCACAAGGACAATATATGCAATTCTTTTTTTTTTCATTACACAGCTATTGAAATTTCTCGCAAGGTGTCTCGCAGTTGGGCCACCTTGTTCAAAGTTGGCAACTTATTTTGGCATTTCCCGCGCCAAGAGTGCAACTGCGTCATATGTGCGATTAATGCCCTCAAATCATTTCACTCCGCGTCCCCTCAGCGCCAGGAAGTTACGACACGAAGAGATCTGAACGAGTTGTCTTCTCAAAAGCACCAGAGATCAGCATGGGCTGCAAGTTGAACGGAGTCACGCCAGATGGCTCAGAGTTTCCTGGTTAGTTGCAACACGCTAAACACCTCCATATGCGGATTTCATATAGTTGAGCGTGTCCAATCTGCGCCACTTTGAAAAGATTACACAACTGGTTTCTAAGGCATGGAAGTGTCATTCATCAAAACGAGGAAACTACTTACGTTGCACAAGACTTGCAAAAACAATTTCAAGAAGACTTTAGCCTTCAGCAAAGGTTACAAATTAAATAGAACGTGTTATGTGGCATCTTTTGAAGTCAAGTCACGTGTCAGATTAAGATTGATAACTGGGCAACTTGGTAAGAGTTCAAGTTGAAAAAACACCGCGACTGGGACAAGGACAAAAGACGAAGGGAGCACAAGACAAACGCTGACTAAAAACGAATTGGTTGTTAGAACATAAGGAAGAATTAAAAGGAAAGAAAACATGAAGTCAAATATTCGCGCGGTTGCTGGGCGCCTCGTAGAATATGTACCCTTCTTTGTTCATCTCAGGCGATCTCGTATTTTCACATTCAGGCGATCTCGTAATTCCACATTCAGGTTTACGAGATCGCCTGAGATGAAAAAAGAGGGGGCATATTCTACAAGGCAAGCGCGCGAACATTTGACTCCATGATTTTTTTTTTCTTCCTTATGTTCTAATAACAAACCAGTTGTTAGTCAGTGCTTGTGTTGTGCTCTCCTCGTCGTTTTGTCCGTGTCCTAGTCGCGCTGTTTTTTCGACACATGTCAAATATAGAGCGAGTAGAAAAAAATTCGCTGTGAATTATTTATTTATTTTATTTAGCAGAAACAAGGACGAGGGAAAACCAATAATTCATTTTATTATCTCTAAAATGTCTTAATTGAGCTGATTTGAGTTCCTCAAATAAAAACACCTGACAGCTTACGGTAACGTTCTTTTTTCATTTCGACAAAATTTTCAACTAACCAATCAAACGAATGTTTTTTATACATATATACTATTTTATTTTATATTTTTACGCAACATATTTGTTTAGGCATATAAAATAGTATTAATTGATTTCGAATATAGAGTATAAAAATAAGCTTTCGAGGTACGAGGAATATTACGCACGTAGATGAAGCCCCATCAGAAAGCATAACAAATATTTGTTCAAACACAGGCTTGCCGAAAGGTTCAGCTTTTCTTTTTATTATTTATTCTTAAAAAAGGACAAGTTCATCGGAAGAACTGTGGGACTAAATCAGTATTATGTATTCTGAAAATAGTTCTTGCAATATGTACAAATAAATGCACATAGTGCTCTTCTCGAAAACTGACATATTCAACAAACCAGAAACGCCAGAAAAAAAAAAAAAGTATAGTTGGTTTCCTGCAGCGTACGCAACCGAAATACCGCCAACTGTAGAAATATAGTTTATCTTCCCGCTTATGTTAAACTCCTAAACATGCGTTATTGGCGTCCCGGTACGTTGGGAGTCTAAAGCACGTCACCTCCAAGAGATGACAAGAGTAAAACTAGCACCCAAACTTGAATCATCTTTCTCGCACCACCGCTCATGGAAGATACGCTGCCTTTCCTTTTACAACCGCCAATAGACCGCTTTCTTGTAATGGTGAGAAAGCTAGGAGCATCCTTGATATAAACTGAGAGATAAAATATACACTAGCAAAAGTAGTTCGTAAACAAAAAGGCTCACTGAACAAAGACTGACACTTGTTTTCGTACCCCATCACCGAAGTATACAGTTTTAGATTTCAAACAAAACCAAAACTTCGAGGACGAAAAGAATACGAAATCGCATCTCACGTTGTTTTCGTTCCTGGTGCTGCAACCACAGGTCCCGCAACATACAATGCCCGAACGAACGAAGAGAGTTCTTTTTCGAAACCACCGAGTTATTCGATTGGACGAAGGCTACACAGTCCTCAAAGGGAAAGCTTCCCCGGTGTGTATAGAGGTTTTACCATATGCACTTCCATCCCAATAGCACCAACCCCTGCACTAAGGCTCCGCCGTACTAAAGGAGTACTACGCTGTTGTTCGCACTCCCAGTGTCCGCTCTGATTTCGGTTGTAAATTTTTTTAGACTATTAAGTCCCACCGCGAGCGGTGTTCATCCTTGAGGGATAAATTAATGTTTGCAAAAAGTCTTGCGGTGATTCTTCCGCAGAGTGTACTGCAAGCAAGCCGCTATCTGAAATCACGAAATAAATGATCCTGGGGATTGGCAAGACCAGAATACAATTGAATACAAAAAACAATGTGACCTGCGCTTGAATAGTGACCATATTGTCATACCCAGCGTTTTACACATTTTTGTGTACGTTAGGGCTCGGCAATTGATCGATTAACTTGCCGATTAATCGATTGATGCTTCAACCGCGATTAATAGTTTTAGCCGGTTAAGCGCTAAAATCTTGACGAACCAAAAGAAAGTAAACATTAACTACTTCCACCAAGCAGACGTGAACGATTACATCAGTATGAAGGGCAAATTTAGGAGAAAGTTTAACCTAAGGTAAACTCTAGGGGCGAGAATTGTAACTCCAAACAAGTGTAGAAAGTTACATGTGTGCCGGCCACTTCAACGCCGTGCGACGTGGACCCGTTTACCGCAGCAGAGACTGTTCTGAACGTAAAAGGAGGTCGCTCTTGCTGGAGACTATCAACTAACCTTTTCACCTCATGCAGCTGAAGTAGGAATCTGTGATTGTGAGTGTTTTTCAACTGTTCTCAAATACACATAGGGGTTGATTCGTAACTTAAATTTCCGTATATCATATTTTTAAAAAAATTTTAATTTTGACTTCTTTAAAAATAGCATCCATAAAATGAACGAAACCGATGAATCGGTTGATGAATCGATCAAAGAGTTGCGATGAAGTTAAAATTTTTAATGGACGCGTCGCCCTACTGTAAAAAGAACGTTTAGGGTCATATCACTCGCTCAGACTTTTCTGGGGGTAGAACTAATTGTATCTTTTAGCGTTAGCGGAGATGCGGATACTCCTCTCGAGAGAATAAGTATCGAACCTCTCAAGCGCAGGAATGTATCTGAAGTTAACCCTAGGACGTCTGGGTTCGTGATCTTTTGTATCGATTGAGTGTAGATATAAGGGAACAACATTGTAATGGAGTTTACCCAATACTTGTCGGTCATACGTGTAAATTGTGTAGCACCGACAGACTACGATCCCGTAAAGGCGGACGGCACAGTCTACACTAGGAGTCCAAAGTACTCCATAGGCTTCAAGCTCAAAGAGAGACCTCCAGACTTCTTGGAATTTCCAGGTTTGTTGAAATATCGAATTATCACACACCTCAGAAACCCTAAAGAACAACTTTACCTTGTCGAGTTAACCTTCAACATTACCTATATTAAATTACACTCTTTACTAGCTCCAGGTAATTATGACGTCGACAAAGCCGACATGTGGATACGTAGCAGCACCCCAAAGCCGAGCATCGGTTTGAGACTAAGCAAGAGGCTACCAGAGAGCTACGACTACCCTGGTTTGTACATCGATATTCAGCCTATACTTGCTATCCTACACCCTTGATATCCGTAAGTGTATGCACTATCTGTGTGAACATCAAGCAGCGTGCTCAATATTGTGTTCACCGGCTCTGTGAGGTTCCTTTGTTACTACACACGACGCTGCAGAGTACATCAGAGTGCGTATGTTCACAATGACTAGTAACCTAAAAAAAATAACTCACGGAAGTCGCGAGTTTGTGAGGGAGCGGCAGGACCCAAGCTAGATTCCTGAGAAATTGTATTGATAAAATTGCACTTCGAGGTCTGTAATTCAAACATTTCCCTTTTTTTATTCACTTTTTATTTAAAGCAATTTTTAAACTCACGCACATCATTTCAATTTATTATGAAAGGAAGTTCAAAACTTAGTTTATTCATAAAACAAAAATAGCAAAGCAAAAATGCAATGATAACAGCAACAACTTAAGATATATAAAAATCAAACATTATAATCTACAGTTTCTCTAGCATGACCTCACGTAATTACGTTCTCCGTCATGCGGTCGATTTACGCATACTGAATTGATACGTACTAAATATTTTGATGGTACATAAATATTTTTCGTTTTGACTTAGGTCCAGGAGATTATAGCATTGCCAAATGCGACTCGGCGACCTTCGAAAGTTCGCCAAAGTACAGCATAGGCATAAAGCCCAAAGAAACGACACAAGAAGACAGTGGATTTCCTGGTATGACAGAATAATTTTATACACGAAAATATATTAGCCTTTATTTCACTTTCTCTTGAAGGTATTTTTGTCAAGAAAATAATAAAAGCAAATTAAAACAAAATAAAAATAACCTGCAGCTTTTTTAATGCGAAGAGCAAGTCGTCTGGTTCTTGCGGAGGAGTTGTGGTGACGTCAGAACGACACTGAGCTCCGATTGGCTTTGACTGAAAGAATAGTGGGTAGACCTTAATGGTAGATGCCTTGATGTCTACCCACTATTTATATTTTTTAATAAGCCAATGAGATTTTTGCGTTTTAACATCATTGCAACCCCTGTGCAAAAAGCAGACGAACTTTCGCTCCGCAATTAGTTTACAGTGTAAAGCGAACGAAAAAGTTTCTAATAGAATATGGGAACCTGAAATTTATTTGGGATGAGTGTAGTATACCGATACAAGTGTCATATTATTATTTCAGATGTTGCATCACCTGCATTAATAATGGTAACTTAAAAACGGCCGTATTTCATGCAGGGAAAATAAGAGATAAGAACACATCGAATATCGACGATATCTTCATATATGACGCAAGATAGTAAAACTAAACTGACAGGTTTTAATGCATTTAAATAATTTCATGCAAATTGTGTATATATTACCGTTCTGAAGGCACGTGAGAAGATGGCTGATATTTTGCATATTCTTATGGGACGCTGTTTCGACACAAAAACAATGTTTCTTTTCTGTTAATTTAAGAATATATCATTTTAGAAGTAGATCATAAAAATTATTTTCGTTAAAATACTCAATTGTCAACTACTCTTGTGCGTACCTTTTTAAGTGTAAACATAATGTTTTGGGCCTTCTCTAGATTGTTTCTTTCTAGAGCTCGGTAGCCTGAACGGTTGTGATATCGCTGCAGTTGATTTGTGAGCAATAGAATCGAACAAAGACGAAACGTTTTTAGTATAAAGTAACTAGTGCAGTATCTGTATGAGGCTTCTGATTGTTTGATTTTGTATCATCAGCTCCAGGCGAATACGCCATCGCCAAATGCGACAACGCGACCCGACACAGCAGTCCCAAGTTCAGTATGGGCACGAAGCCGACATGGTCACTTCAAGAAGGCGCAGATTTCCCCGGTACAAAAGAAAATGATATATGAACATAAAATTTTTACTAACTGAATATTGAAACAATCCGATAGAACGAAAAGCTCGGTGCGCTAACAGTTTGTTTTCAATCAGCCCCAGGAGACTACAACGTGGCGAAATCTGACAACGTGAGACTGAGCAACTCGCCCAAGTACAGTATCGGAACAAAACTCAGGGAAACACTTCCGGAAAGCGCCGAATTTCCGGGTAAAACACCCGTTCTTTTAAAAAATATTAAACATACGTCCTCGGCGGTTTCGTAAGCGTACACAATGTAACTTATGATTTTGTTCGTTTCCGATCAGCTCCAGGAGCTTACAGCATTGACAGGGGAGATGCTGTGATAAGCTGCGCTAGCCCAAAATACAGCATCGGATCCAGATTAAGGACGAGGTTACCCGAAAGTGCTGACTTTCCTGGTCCGTATGAACGCCCATTTTCTGAAACCTTTTGTTGAGCAAGCACACCGCGTAAACGCTTAAGGTTTGATGGGTTCTAAAAGTACACTAATGTTTTTTTTAATTTTTATTTACGTAGTGCGTCTCAGGCGCAAGGTTGTCGCAAGTCTTCTAAGAATTAAAAAAAAAATTAAGCAAGCACGCGTTCCGCTTTTATGGGAAAAGTGCGATCATTAATTCATCACCGAGCGTTTCGAGACAACTGGAAGTAGCCAAGAAGGAAGAGGCTGGTGTCGGGTGTCAGCATTTACACTAATACATTCTTTTTTACTGGTCTGGTACATGCTTTTATACAATGAACGTACAGCAACTCTTCACATTTCGGGGACTAAGAGAAGTCGGCCATGGCCGGTGGAAATTTATTGGGTACCATTCATTTGCACAGCTCTATTTATTGTCTCGCCTATTGGCTCCTCCCAAAGCAAAAGAACGGGAGGGAATGAATTTTTAATGGAGTCTTTGATAAGGAAGCATATCAAGCCAGGTGATTATTTTTTTCTTTTTAGAAGTTCTAGAGCTCACGTAGTTTGTTGCACCATAAAAACTGCAGGCGAGGAATGTGATATCCACTCACGATGAACTCACCATTCTGACGTCGTGGCAATAGAGCATCTCCGCAAACGCCCTCTTTTGCAGATCGGCACCCACAGAAACTAAAATTTCGCCAGAAGTTCAATGTACTAGGACTGTTGCGCGTTGATTGGGGCGGCTTCTTAATGGGCAGAGCCACTCCTGCAGTTCTTATGTTGCGTACGTCTATAGTAGATCGATTTATAGCCGCAAGGATGCCAGGTCAACAGCCAGATAGCGCCTTTCTAAGCCATTGCTTTCTTATTAGCTCCAGGACACTACAGCGTCGAGAGAGGAGAAACCTTAATAAGAAGTAGTAGTCCCAAGTACACAATGGGTTCCAAGCCAAGGGAAACGCTTCCTGAAAATGTCGACTTTCCCGGTTCGTACACAGCTTTACACCGAATGTTTCATTGGAAAAACTTGATCGCGGCCAGCAGAAACCCTAACGCTATTAATTATGATACTTTATTTATACTGGGAACGTTAATTGCTAGTCTTCTGAAGACACCAACAGTAAGGCAACCCCTACCGGGAATTGTATCAATCGGACAATAAAACAGCCTCTAATGCAACAAGGATGCTATAATGTGTGTTACAGTATAGAAGAACGCTGAACTTCTTTTTTAAGCTAGTTTAATGTATAATTTTCATCATAGCTAGCAGCACCGCCACAATAAAAGAAACTGCGTATTCTAGCCACTCAAACCCAGACCCTCAATTGATTTTCTAACGGCAGGTACTCCAGCAATGTTTTATTCCAACCTAAAATCCCAAAATGCTGCCACCTTCATTTGAGCAGGACACTTTGGAAGGACTGCTTTCACGCAGAAGTTTCTTTTGTTAAGTACTTTACTTCGATAGTAGGCAATTATAACAATTTAATGCCATGTGTTTGGGGCCAACCTCTAGCTCCCGGAACATACGACCCCACCAGAAGCGATGCCGTCATTTACAGCAGTTCGCCGAAGTACAGTGTAAGCTGTAGATTCACGGAAAGACCGCCCGAGTCCATCATGTTTCCCGGTTCGTAACCCTCCACTCTTATTAATTTAACGTTTACTATCATTACCTGTGGGTGTTTGCTGATGTTGCGTATAAATGACTATCAGGTCCCGGAGACTATTGTCCGGATGTATCCGACCATGTCGTGAAGATGAGGCCGCCACATTACAGTTTTGGCTGCAAACTGAAGCCGCCTAGGCCTTACAGCGCGGAATATCCCGGTCAGTCAACAACCATACTAAAGCGCTCTCTTTGTATTCATTGTCATTTTCATCAGGACACTTTGTGGAAACAGTTTGTTGTCTATCGATTCTAAAGTGGTCTCTTTTACATTACTGTCTATCGAATCAACAAAACAGCGTTGCCCTATGATTTAACTTGTTCATTCTTGTCTTAATCTACTTCACATATTGTCGCTAATGTTGGTGAACCAATGCATGTCACTTGACAAAACAAAAATTTGAATCGGCCATTCCAAGAGACATTAAAAGAAAGCATGATTGTAGCGTAGCTTTGGCATTATTCTCGTTACGCCCATTACAGTTAAGGCTTGATCGAGTTTAACCGACTTTGGCTGCAGCCAGTATTTATAACTAGGTGCGTCTCACTGTACTTCCACACGAACCGATTTATGAAAATAGAAGCATCCGCGAGTACTTCGCTTCACTGTCCACGCTGCTGCATTCCATTACCACCAGTAAAGTAAAATGTTCTCGGAAGATTATTCAAGTTTCAAAACGTCCGCACGTTCTAAGCTTCTTGCCCGTTCCTCAAACTCTGTCGTTTGTTTCCTTTCTCTCCTTTACATTTTAGCGTCTTGTACTTATAGTCCCGAGCACAGCACCAAAGCCGTCCGCACATCGGCGCCCAAATTTACGTTCGGAAGCAAAATATCGGACGCCTCGCCTGAGCGGCATCTTTACCCTGGTTGGTTTTCTCTTTCTCTTACCCCTTTATTGAGTGACGAATAGGTCAAGTTTTGTCTGTAGAAAGGCTGACAGTCGCTTTTGTTTTCATCACAAACACTCGTAACAGGCCCGGCTGACTACGATCCAGTCAAAGGGAGAGAATATGTGTCTAGGAGAGCTCCCAGATATAGTTTCCGGTCGAGGCTGAAGGAGAGGCCGCCGGACAACCTTCAATTTCCCGGTTAGTTGCTGCAATAATCGTCCAAGAACGGCGTATCGTAGATTCACGCATTGAGGAAACACACTCGTTTAAAATTCTTTTCATTAGTGCCTAGATGCTAAAAATTCAGACACTTCACTATGATTGGAAGCACAAGCTCAAGTACATGAGCCTTGCGAAAAAAAAAGGCTGAAGTCCTCAAAACAGGTACGAAAAACTTACAAAAAAAAACAACCTCCAGGTTGCCTCAGAGTGGAAGCCGCCGACATGAAGCTAAGAGGCTGCGAGGCGTTATCTCGACTTAATAAGCTATGTTTCTCAGGGATATTTTGCCTGTTACCCCAGGCTATTAGGTTTCGTGTAACATACATTAGTTCCAGATATTGATCCTACAGGTATAAGCTATCGTCTAAAACATTGTAATTATTATTATAAAGGTTATGTTGATTTTTGTAATGTTATACTTACGGATCTATTCTAGCTTGCTTTGGCGTTGATCCCCTTCACACTAATTTCATTTAATATACTAAAACGTTTCGCGTCAAGTCCTCTGAAATCACTTTTGGCTACCTTTGCCCGACGGAACAACCATGGGGCCAAAAGTACCGATATTAATGAAGATATTTTCACCACCCCCACTTTCCGGTAATTCCTCCCCAGGCGAACCAAGTTCATGTAGACAAATGACCAAGACCGTGCCGGGAAACGTATAGCCCGCGAGCAACTCGCGACACTGTAATAAATTTGCGGCCTCGGTGTGTTCAGCTCCTAGAGTCTCACATAGCCTATAGGGCTCTCCATAGCGACAGTCCGTACGAAAGATAAGGCGGCAAACCAACTGCAGCTTTGGACCATAACGTAAACCGGGCGGTACTTTTCACTGTAGCGCCGGGATCTTACGACCCGGACAGAGGCAATCCAGCGCTGTTCGGCTCACTTCCAACACGAAGCAAGTCCAGGAGCCCCCGAAGGACAAGATCACACGAACGCGACGACAGAAATGGTCAATAACCTTTTATTTTTCGCCTCAAACGTCCATACACTTTGCTATACTTTGAGCGCAGCCGGATTCCATGCACCCAATCAGGCGATGCTTAAACCGCGTCGTCATGGCGCTCATCGTCTTCGTGCGTTTACTACTACTAGCTAAACAAATCACAAACAAAAAAAAAAAAGCGGAAGATCACGGCGCGTTCATTGTGCGTGATTAGTTTAGCCGCGATAATGCGGAGCGCAGGTTCGTCTGCTTCTTGAGCAAGGGTTGCGGTGAGGTCAGAACTCCGAGCTCTGATTAGCTCCTATTGGAAGGATAGTGGGTAGACCTCAAGACAGCTAGCATTGAGGTCTACCCACTACGGTTGAGACCGATTATAACGAAGTCGGTTATAACGAAATAGCGGCTATAGCGAAGCGATCACGATTTTCCATTTCCTTTTGCACTTCGTTACAACCGAAGTCGGTTATAACGAAATAGCGGATATAACGATGTGATTTCCGATTTCCATTGACTTCGTTAAAATTGGTATCGACCGTATCCCTTCATCAGATTGCAAGAAGCAGCCGAAGCCGATTGCAAGAAGCAGACGAACTTGCGCTTCGCATCGCAAACGCCCAAAGACGACGAGCGCCCTGACGATGCATTTTTGGCGCTGCCTGATTGGCCGTGTCAGATAGTGGCGCGGTAAGACTCACTGCGAACACAATCATTATCTATGTTCTTTTCGATGTCTTATATGACTCAGCATTTTACTTTCAAACTGACAACCTTTGTCATATATGTTCAACGCCACACGAAGTTTCAGCAGAAGAAGCAGTTGTCTGCATAAGCGGGCAGTTGCATTTGTAATCTGAATTCTGCTGGAACGAGGCACGAAATCTGGCGCACTGCACCTCCGACAAGTTAGTCTGTTTGTTTGTCTCTGGCAACACATGAATGACCTTTGAACCACCGTCTTTAATTTAGGAACAGAAACTGAAGACAAATCAGCAGGAGAAATGCGGCGTAGCAGATCACTTCGAATCGTAAGAAGCGTTAAAGATCAAGAACTCTCAGGTACGACATGGTCTCACCTTAAAAAAAGAAACATGTTTCTCTGTTCATTTTCCAGTTGAACACGGCGACAGCCCATCACGGTGTACAATCGAAGAATCCTTGCGAATGTCGGTGCTTAGAATACAATTAGCTCTGAGAAACACGATGTGCGCGGGGGAATGTTGAAGCAATGCGTCATGCGATATTGCCACAGCGCAATCCACACTCTATTGCCTGTCTAATCATAATCTGAGCTTCGTTATTCGCTGGCATCCTTCTATTCGTTCTAGGATTGACTGTCGCCGTGTTCATGTGGAAAGTCGTCACAAAAAGCGCAAGTGTAAGTCACTATGGCTTTTCCGATTATGAGTGGTTTAACGATGATAAATCACGTACAGAAACACACTGAACACCATGAGGATGAACTTTTGACGCTGTCTGATTGGCCCCGTCCGCTCGTAGCATCGGCCGCGTCGGGACTTAAAGGGATGATGAACCGAACATTTCATTGTCTATAATAAACGGCGCACTATCTTTTCATGAGTGAGCAGCCGCTGGTGTGCGCGAGCACACGCAACGGAATTGTCGTCATCATATTATTGACCTTATCATATTCAACTTAATAAGCTCAAATGGGGGATATAATGACGTCAATATCGTTGCGTGTGTGTATAACTCATGGAAAGATGGTGCACCGCTTATTATACACACTAAAATGTTCGGTTCGCCATCACTTTAAAGCGAAACCATCTACGAGTATCAAACGAAACTGCTGATCGCCTAAAGAAATATGTTGATCACTAATAACTTCCCGCATTCGTACCCTACAGGAAAAGAGAACATCTCAAAATCGGAGGGCCACATTGCATCGCGCCAACGCAACGTAACCTTTCAGCAACCTAGGGAAAGAAAATGTCGTTCAAAGAGAACTGGTAAATTACTTATCCATGACTGATTTCCAAAACAAAGTGCTGTAAATCGAAGAAAGATAGTGATATATATATTCTTAAGATAGCTTAGCTGCTCTTACGGGGGGTACGAATTGCTGGACTGATATATGATGGACTGCTACTAAATTTATGATATCTCTCCAATGGTCGCTACATTTTGGTAGTTTGTGCTAATTGCGTCTTACTTTGAACAACAACAAAAAAAAAATATCTTGTGATTCAGAATTTTGGCCAATCACGTAAGGGGTTACCAGATAAAGGATAGTTTAAAACGTATAAATAACGCAAGGAGCCTTTTGATTATAAATTCATTTTCGTTTTAAAAAACAATGAAAGCATACAATTAGTATCTAGACCACCGCGCCAAAACTTGCAACTCTCTCGCGTCCTTTGCTTGCTTAGATCAAAGACGACATGATGGATTATTAGTAGTGTTTGGTATAAAAACGTCCACGGGGTTTGATATGTTCAGTATACATTTTTAAGGTCATTATTTTCGTAAGGCTTAATATGCACAGTTTGGTAATTAACTCGCTAGATTACCAATTAGTTACGATAACAGCACCACTGAATATACGTGAGCAGTGGGTTATAAAATATTAGATGTTAGAACTAGCTTGCCACTTTTCTATGCATACTTAAAGACCTGTTATGTTTTTTTAAAAGACGCGGCATTCTGCGTGTAGTGTTTCTGCCTTATTTACCATGACTCTAATGTATGTATTGGAAGGTCATAAAAATGCAACTTACCCTACACCATGACGACAACGAACATCTTTTTTCACTCCAGACATATCCGTTGAAAAGGCGACGAATAAGGGTACATGCCTCAAACAATCAGTGGTAGATGGCAGCTTGACCAAGAGGACGACGCTTCTCGAGACGTCTATGGGTGTGTCACTCTCCACTTTGAATTAAATGTTGTATTGCGTGGCTTTCCGGGTACACGAATTTCAGATTTTGATGAGGAGCGCAAGTTCGTCTGCTCCTTGCACAGGGTTTGCGATGATGTGAGAACGCCGAGCTCTTATTGGCTGATGAACAAAATAGTGGGTGGACCTCAAGGCATCTAGCACTGGGGTCTACCCACTATCCTTTCAATCACAGCCAATCAGAGCCCGTCGTCATTCTGACGTCACCGCTACTCCTGCGCAAGATGCAGACGGCTTGCTCTCCGCATACCGTGAGCTATCGCTTTAAACACTGCAGTCACTGACAACTTAAGGAACGCAGTGCGTGGTTCATTATGTTCTCGCTCCATGCTTCGGTATTCGTTCATCGCCGTTTTTATCGTCTGATACCGAAATCTTATTGACTGCGAAGCAAAAGTAGGACGCCGGGCTCTCGTCACGCCCTGGGTTATTTAAGATGTCTGTAACTATAATAAACGTTATTTTCAAATTTTAAAACAGACGCTCCAAAAAGACACTTGTCTCCAGAATCGAAGATCCGCAATATTGTAAGTCCCCCGAGGACCATCAAGATGGCGCCAAGGTCTCCAGATGGAGTAGATTTTTGGAAACCTCCTGGCGCCGGACCTTTCTATGCCAGACTTCATCAGTCTGGCGACCCTTCGTCAGCTGTTTCTCCTGGTGCGTTGAAATTTCCATTCATCAACCAGAAAAAAGAAAAATAGTGATATTGAAAATATAACGTATAGCATAGAGGCACGCTCTACGCCAGACTTCATCACTCTTGCGACCCTTCGTCATCTGTTTCTTTTGTTTCTCCTGATTTTTTTAAACCTTCATGTATCAACGAGGAAAAAATACATGTTTATACTAAAACATGAACATGGCATATGATGGAAAGGCACATTTTAATGCCTCAGCTTCGTGAAACTATAACATTGCTAAGGTGCATTGTATACATTATGTTCAACTTGAAAACCAGTAAGAAAAAATTTTTTGTGTATCTGTTTTTATTTTTTTTTATGTTTTTTGTTACCAGCCGAAGCAGAAGACAACAGCAAAGTGACGTTTGAATCAGGAGCTAGCCTCCTTTCCAGGGAAGGCTTTGCAGGACCATCACGTGATCAAACATTCGGTAAAATGTTCGGTCGTATTTATACGTGGGCTACAAAGATTAAATATGATGTCAAAAATGTCTGAGCTTAATTTTCTTCTTGTATGTAACGGCGTCTTATTCACTTTTCACTGCATGAAGAAACCAAGTGTAAAAGAAAGATATAGAGCTCTGACCAAAAGCCATCATTAAACCAAACACACATATTTCCCTGACGGTGCCGTGAGCTCCTGGTGGAGCATAGAAAATCTTCTATTTAATCGCATTCTCTAAAAGTTTTCAGAAATAACATCCTAACATTATCTTTGTTCCTTACATTCAGAATAGCAATATATTTAATGCAAGCAAGGTCGCGCTTATGAATATCGGCAGTTCATAAGATAGTCATATATAATGCATTTCATATATCAAACTGAGTCAATAGTGATGAATTCGTTTTTATATTGACCCACTTTACTACTTATTGATTTGTTCCTACAGGATCAGAATATTACGACACTAGCGTATGCGAGAAGCTACGTTTCTCTCACTGCCCCACCTTTCCGATGCGAGGAAAAACGAAGATGCCCAAAGAGCCTACGCCCGGTTAGTTTTACCAGATCAATAAAACAAACACGCATATAAAGAGCTCTAATTCACGAATTCTGTAATTAATAAGGATCATGCGATGATGGTGTGTAGACGGCAGAGTAACTAACGGATATGTTGTTGACACCACTGTATAGCTCCTGGAGATTATGACCCAGAGAAGGCAGATCCTTGGGTGAGACCCGTGTCTCCATCATATTCATTTGGACTCAAGATTTCATGTCAGCCGTCGTGTGACCTTCCCGGTGTGTATATTCAACCAAAGATTCCACACGTGTCCAACGTTAAACGTGCCATGTCTTCTTGTTTTTTTTTTACATCACGAGCATTATTTTGAATGACGAGAAGCCAGTGCTGCATTAAGCGATACAAATCGGAAAGAAGTGTGATATGAATATTTTGTAAAGCATTATTACTAGAATGAACATTTCATATATCTTTTTTTAGTCATGCTTTGTAGGGCACCGAAACTGAAGCATCGCGAACATAAGGAGTACGGCATCTTGACTTCTTCTCACGGACGATAATCTACTCGAAATTAAGGGGTCTTTGTAGGATACATATGAGATCAACACGTGCAAGATTCAAATATGTTGTTTATGCTAGATGTATGAACCGGCACGCCGCTTCGCCGCCAGGCCAATATGGTGGCGCTGCCGTCGGCATGGCACATTAGGGAGGCTGTAGTGAGGGTGGGCGCAACTCAAAACCTGGAGAGCGTTTGCAATTTAATGGCGGCGCCTGAGGGAGAGGATTCGAGAAAGGATATGCGCCAGTGTTGCCTGCATGAGAACAGGCGCCCGCTCTGTTGCAACTCTGTTGCTCCATGCGCCTCTCCTCCTCTCGCCTCCCATTGCAAGCAACGAGCGCCTTGGCGCAGCCTCTCTCGCTTCCTTCTCGCTCCGAGAATTGCAAACGTCGAGCGGAGAAAGCAAAGTTGCCAGACAAGCAACAACGTCCAAGATGGCGGAATTTACCATTTTTCGCGTTAAAAAAATACTTAACCTATCGCAACAAAACTGGTGGCTATGGAAAAGTAATCATTTATACCTTGTGTAAATTATTCAAGCACCTTAATGGGCTTTTATGACCTGAGTTAGGAAAGAAAACGACCCTTTGCCCCATAGACTCCCAGCAAAATTTAGCAATTAAATGGCGTCCATGTCCCGTGATCGCCGATCTAGCAGTTGCACCCACCCTCACTTGAGCCTCCCTATGGCACATTCACACACAGTTAACCTCATATGTTATTCTGATTTCGGTGCACGCGCAGTGCCCAGATCCTATTTGAGCAAAAGCGGGCTTGTTTGTAAAACAGCGCGTTGGCGTATATGTGACCATACAAAAACGTCCCTTCTGCCTGACACAATCATCCCGCAGCTCCTGGGGACTACAGTCCTGAAAGAGCCGACAAGGCTGTCTACCCAGCGGCGCCCAGATGCTTTTTCAGTCGAAGAACGGAGGACATCGACGACACGTTCGAAAGACGTCACTGTAAGCAAGCTACCATCCTCGTGCTCGCTCTCGCGACAGTAACTGCACTTTCGACACAACAGCACCCTGAAGCACTGCACTCTTTTATCAATAAACATTTTTGCACAACTCCTTGCACCGTGCACTGTGGCTTGTTTTTTTTTTCCCCATACCATATCACGTCTTCTACAGGTTACTCATAAGAGTATTCGATTAGAATGGCAATTACTCTTGCGTAAAAAAACGTTCAATTATATCACTTTGCACTGTGGCGTGTTTGTTTTCTCTAGTGTCATTGTACCGTTCTTGTACACGTTACTAAAAAGTAATCGTCGATGATTATACAATTCATCTTGGATAAAAGGTGTTCAGTTTTATTACTTTGCACTGTGGCTTGTCTGTTTTCTCTCGTGTCATGTTACCGCTCTTATGCACGTTACTCAGAAAAGTAATTTACTCTTGGTTAACAAAAAATTCATTTAGATTATTTTGCTCTGTGACTTGTTTGTATTCTTTCATGTCATTATTCCGCGTTCATTTTCTGCTTTTCCCTCACGCAAACGGGACATCGAGTATTTCCTCAGTTCACTTCGGCTAAACACTTTGAAAAGAAATATTGTAATCTGAACGCGAATCTTAGGGATTATTTGCAAAACTAAGTTGTTGGTTTATTTCATTTGGATATCAACACAGGGCCACCTTCTTTGACGGAATGATACTCTACAATTTGGCTGTCCGCTCCGAAAACGCTGGGAGCCGTCTCGCACCATTACAAGGGCGACAGATCGTTCACTAAAACAATAAAAAGATTAAACTGTGCAGAGCCCGAATTTATTTATTTAATTGCAAAGTCTAGTTAGCGGGCCCATACATAAGGATCAATATGTGAAAAATAATTGAACCCTGAGGATAATGGAGTTGTATGACATAAATAAACACTTCTACGGTACTAACTGAATGTCATCAAATATTCTATCTTCGTCAAAGAAACCAGCAGAGCAAGGTGACTCTTCAACTTGTCAGATGGTGAACTTCACAATAGTTTTTATTAATAAACTACTTTGCGATACTTATTACCATCAAGCGACCAATACCAATTCCAACCCCACCTGATATTAGGTGTCATCAGGTGGTCAGAACTGCATGAAAGGTTTGTTCGGCAGTAATATAGACCCTCCGAAGCCATGCCCCGCTACCTTTATTATTGACAGAACATTCAAGCTCCTGGTTTCAAAAAAAAAAAAAAAAAACCGTAGACATTGCCAGTCTGAAGTCGCGCCTGTTGCCTGAGTGAATCCTTATATTTCGCTTTGAGCGGACGCTTATATGCATTCTGATTGCTGGTGTTGAAATTATAATCGAGGACTCGGTGGCAACGAACGGTAGTACAGCGTGTTCGAACTTGTAACAGTTTGTAAAGGCGCCAACTGCAAGCAGCTTGGGTACAAATTTTCTGAAGTGATGCGTCACTTTCTTACTTTATATTGCGATTGCGTTTACATTTGCCTGTGATTTCAATCTGAATTTCTTTTGCTTTCATATTTACGGTAGATATGTATTCCTCATATCGTAGGTAAACTCCCATCGTAACTATATACTGCGTATATTTTTGTGTTGTGATATATGAGTATGAACTAAAGTAACGTAAACATTCAAAATTAGCGCCCGACATTTGCATGTAAAATGTAGGAAAGCGCTGAAGTCCCATCTGCAGGTAGCGGTTCCTCAAACTCTAAGGAGTGTAATGGAAGTTAATCGCTCAAGTAACAGTACCTTTGCTTCAGTAACACACGGTACGGGAATTTCTATTTAAAGTAAAATAATGTTTGTTGTTTGCAAAAAAGTTTCATAAAACCATGACGGGTCCCCGAAGTAAAAGGACACACTTTTGAAGCCAGACATCTCAGATAAATTTCGCGGGTTTTGTAAATCTTCGTAACCCTTATTTTTCAACAAATTTTCAAAATTTTTCTTAATTCCGACACAAACTTAAATTGTCAAAACAGCACGTAGTTTTTAGTATCACCGCTAAAAATGAGTCTCATAATCTTCTTTCAACAGCTCCCGGGGCCTATCATCCCGAGAAGGCTGACGAAAGCGTACGATCACTGAGCCCTAGTTACACCTTCGGCATCAAACTGAAGGATCCTAAACCGGAGGAGGTACCCGGTAGGTTTCCAGGGTAACCACTTACTGGTTGGACTAACCCTAGCGGCTCCCGAGCGTGGCACTAACCTTCACCTTGCAAAGTGACGCATGCGTACGTCACGCAATTAAGGAGATGCACTGTACCGAGATGCACTGCGAATACTTTGTGGTCACCTGTCCTTGCCTGCACTCTAGACACCTCTCTGTGGCCATGACACACCATTGGTGGATAGCTTCGCAACAAAGTCTGCACATCTGGCGTCGTGTCACTGTCTCCGTCACTGAATTGTAGAACGACTGTGTAGTTACACACTATATCCGGTGACAGGGTATGAACCAAGTAAGGGTTCTGACCCCAGCACGCACTGATTGCCTTTCGCCGGGCATTCGCTGTGAGTCAGACGAAGTGATAGCAAAGGCAGAAAACTCGCGTACGAGACGGAGCATCTACTACGTTCTTAATCTGTCACCGACTATTAGTTGTATACACGCAGACAAAAGGTGTACGATGTATCTCGTTGTCTCATCATTAAACGAGTTGTCAGTACTGTCTTGTCTGTTGCGACTACATGAAAAAGCCGAAGCCAACATATGTTTAAGTGCTATCGCCCTGCATGAAGCAGCGCTCCTTTTGGCTCGTCACCTGCGTTAGATCGAAACTCACTTGAACTTGGTGTATTATTCTGTACGCCCGTTCGCTTAACAACTTTTTTTTACAATGCATGCGCTGTTTCCTGCCCTGTCATCAGCACCCGGCGCCTACTGTCCCGAGAAGGCCGACACAGTGCTTGCTGCCACACCTGCTTACAGCTTTGGTTTGAAGCCTAAGGACTTGAGGCCCGATGACATTCCCGGTAACCGCCTTTCTTCTCAGGAGATCGTTTGTAATTCAAGTCTTTCGTGGAAGTTGAAACCAGTATTCAGACTATAGACAGTTCCTATAGCACCCTTCTTCGCGCTGCTATATTTGTCTACAGAGCTGTGAAACGCGCTCTGAGCATGCGCTGTAGCTAACTTTAGCGGAATATCATACGCCGGGTTTGCGTTTACATCCCGTTGACTCTACATTTTTTTTTACTTGCTGATAAGTGCTCAAAAGTGCATATATTTGAGATACCCCTATAGCAAGCCAAAGATGCATCAGAAATGACATTTTCTGCCGACAATCAGGTTACTAAAGGACAATAAAAATACAATGCTCGCTTGTTTATGACAGGCTCAAGGTTATGAACAATAATCAGCACTTCTCTAAACACTGCTTTCTGACTCACCACTTCAGCGTCCAGCACTTCTGATTACCGATGACTCTCCAAAGAGCATTTAGGTGTAGTCATATTAAAAAAAAAATGCACAGATAAAAACCTCAACATTATTCTAAGATTTTCTCCCGAGTTCAGTCACATACCTGAATATAATAATAACTTGAGGTCCCACGGGTCCCACCTCCGAACTAATGCTCTCCAGCCTGTGGCGACAAACACAGCTCCACGTGTGTCCTTTCCCGTGCCTACTGATCGATTTGAGAAAAGATTCATAAATCGCACACGCTCCATTTTACTAATAACCGAACTGTCAATGCTTTAAATGTTTTTAACGTTTTTTGGGTTATTTTCTTCAGTAAAAAGGGCATGAATGGTAGGGTGTGCTAGTTCTCACCCTTCGTCTTGTTCCTGCCAAAAAAAAAACACTGTGACACTACACGAAACCCTAAACTCATATACAATAGTATATCTTAAATCGACTGTTGGATCCGTAGATGCTTGCTTCGCGTTTTTTTTTTCTTATTTCGGGTGGTTTATTTTAGGCTCTTTAATATAAGAGAGGTTTTGAAAGAAACAATCTATGAACACCAGCGCCAAAGTCCACAATATGTTCCCAAGTGAACATAGAGGCAACAAAGATTAAAAACCCACATCCGTGAAAAGAAAGGGTTTTCTTTACAGACGAAATACAAGCATAATGCTCCAGCCAATAATTTTCAGGTTTTCTGTGAATTTATAAAACCCCTCATTACCCCTTGGTGGCGGGGTTTGTCATTGCGTGCTGCCCTGAAAGCATCAAAGAATAAATCCACCACAAATCATCACACGCTCCTTATGTAAAACCTAAACAATAATTTGCAGTTTTATTTATAATTTTCACACAATTTAAGCAAATATTGCAAGTTTTAACGCGCTTCTTTATGCATGATCTACTTTAGCAACTTGCACCTACGGTCCCCAACAATTAGAAAGCATGAAAGCATACTAACGGCATCACCATCTTACAGCTTATCGTTCGTTCTACGCATTTACTAGGTTGATATTTATCAATAAGCCTAGTTTATACAACCGCTGATGTGTCTGTCATTCGAGCTTCAGCAGAACGATGTGGCTTTTGCATTTTTTTTAATACTGTATTTTTCGTGGCTTGGTTCCACTTCTTAGCACGCTCTATAATGAACCTCTCAGAATGCTTAAGCCATATTCTTGCACGTGAACTACATTAGCTTACCCTCAACAGCACCTGGCAGCTACAGCCCAGAGAAAGCTGACAAAGTGCTGGATGCAACACCAGCTTACAGCTTCGGCTCCAAGCATAAAGACCTTAGGCCCGACGATGTTCCTGGTAATTAAGACAAACCTTCACATACTTTTATAAACCTCAAATGTGGCTCTTGTGCTGCCGATATTGCGGTATTTATCGTCATCTAGCCTACCAACACGTCTATCTCTGCCTGTCACTTTACTGCATGCACTTGTATCATAGATGTTGAATATGATGCATGGACGTCCTCTTACAATGCATTTTCACTACATCGCCCAAATTCAGCACCCCGAACCTACCGGCCACAGAAAGCTGACAAACTACTAGCTGGAACGCCTTCTTACAGCTTCGGCTCGAAGTATAAAGATCTTTCGCCCGACAATGTTCCTAATAATTAAAACATACCCTCTTACGCTTTTATCTCAGATATGACTCTTGCACTTCCGATAGTTCATCATTATGTACCTTCCAGTAAGCTACTAATACTTCTATCTCTCCCTTTCACTACACTGTATGTTCTTCTATCAAAAACTTTGAGCATGCTTTATACCCGGCATCTTACAATTCACTTTCACTACATTGCACTAATACAGCACCCGGGATGTTCCTGGTAATTAACCCATAACTTCACACCTGTTATCTTAGACATGGCACTTGAACCTTCGAAAGTTCAACATTCTTTGCCTTTCTACCAATACTTCTATCTCTTCCTGTCACTCCACTGCATGATATCCTATCATAAACACTGAACATCACTTATGCACGTACTCTCCCAATGCATTTTAACCACATTGCCCTAATACAGCACCCGGAACCTACCAGCCGGAGAAAGCTGACAAGGTACTTGATGGAGCACCTTCTTACAGCTTCGGCTCCAAGCATAAAGACCTTAGGCCCGATGATGTTCCTGGTAATTAACACTCACTTTCACGCCTGTTTATCTCAAATATGGCACTTGAACTTTCAATAGTACAAGATTATATACCTTTCTACCAATACTTCTATATCTGTCTGTCACTGTACTGCATGCTCTTCCATCATAAACGTTGAACATACTTTATGTAATGTACACTCACAATGTATTTTTACCACATTTCCCTAAAACAGCACCCGGAACCTACCGGCCGGAAAAAGCTGACAAAGTACTAGCATCTACACCTTCTTACAGCTTCGGCTCCAAGCATAAAGACCTGAGGCCGGACGATGTTCCGGGTAATTAACCCATACCTTCACACATGTCTATTTTAGATATGGCACTTGGACGTTCGATAGTACAAGATTCTTTACCTGCTAAGAATACATATATGCCTTCCTCTTATTGTACTGCATGATTTTTCGTCACAAACTTTGAACATCCTTTATGCATGTACCCTCACAATGCATTTTCTCCGCATTGCCCTAATACAGCACCCGGAAGCTACCGGCCAGAGAAAGCTGACAAAGTACTTGCAGGAACACCTTCTTACAGCTTCGGCTCCAAGCATAAAGACTTTAGGCCTGACGATGTTCCTGGTAATTAACCCATACCATCACACCTTTTTATCTTAAACATTGTGCTTGAACTTTCGATAGCTTAACATTTTTTGCCTTTCTACCAATACTTCTATTTCTTTCTGTCACTTCACTCCACAATATCCCATCATAAACGCTGAACATCATTTATGCACGTACTCTCCCAATTGATTTTCACCACATTGCCCTAATACGGCACCCGGAACCTATCGGCCAGAGAAAGCTGACAAGGTACTAGCTGGAACACCTTCTTACAGCTTTGGCTCCAAGCATAAAAACCTTAGGCCCGACAATGTTCCTGGTAACTAACCCTTACCGTCACTCCTGTTTATCTAGGATATGGCACTTGAACTTTCGATAGTACAAGATTCTTTTCTTTTGTACCAATAATTCTATCTCTGCCTGTCACTGTACTGCATGCTCTTTCATCATAAACGTTGAACATACTTTATGTATTGTACTCTCACGTTTCATTTTAACCACATTGTCCTAATACAGCACCCGGAACCTACCGGCCGGAAAAAGCTGACAAAGTACTAGCTGCTACACCTTCTTACAGCTTCGGCTCCAAGCATAAAGACCTGAGGCCGGACGATGTTCCAGGTGATTAACTCACACCTTCACACATGCTTGTCTTAGATTTGGCACTTGGACGTTCGATAGTACAAGTATCTTTAATTTCTACCAATGCATCTATCTCTTCCTCTTACTGTACTGCATGCTCTTTCATCCCAACCTTTGTACATGTCATAGGCACGTATCGTCACAACGCATTTTCACCGTATTGCCCTAATTCAGCACCCGGAAGCTACCCCCCAGAAAGAGCTGACAAAGTACTTGCTGGAACACCTTCTTACAGCTTCGGCTCTAAGCATAAAGAACTTAGGGGTGACGATGTTCCTGGTACTTAACCCATACCTTCACACCTGTTTATGTTAGACATGTCAATTGGACTCTGGTAGTTCAAGATTTTTTGCCCTTTCTACCAATACTTCTAACTCATTCTGTCACTTTACTGCATGGTCTTCCATCATAAATGTTGAACATCCTTCCGGCACATATTTTCACAATGTATTGTCATCACATTGCCTCAATACAGCACCCGGAACCTACCGGCCAGAAAAAGCTGACAAAGTACTAGCTGCTACACCTTCTTACAGCTTTGGCTCCAAGCATAAAAACCTGAGGCCGGGCGATGTTCCCGGTAATTAAACCATATGTTTATCTTTGATTCCGTACTTTCTAAAAATACATCTATATCTTCCTCTTACTGTACTGCATGCTCTTTCATCACAATCTTTGAACATCCTTTATGCATGTACCCTCACAATGCATTTTCACCGCATTGCCCTAATACAGCCCCCGGAACCTACCGGCCGGAGAAGGCTTACAAAGTACTTGCTGGAACACCTTCTTACAGCTTCGGCTCCAAGCATAAAGACCTTAGGCCGGACGATGTTCCAGGTGATTAACTCACACCTTCACACATGCTTGTCTTAGATTTGGCACTTGGACGTTCGATAGTACAAGTATCTTTAATTTCTACCAATACATCTATTTCTTCCTCTTACTGTACTGCATGCTTTTTCATTCCAACCTTTGAACATGTCATAGGCACGTATCGTCACAACGCATTTTCACCGTATTGCCCTAATTCAGCACCCGGAAGCTACCGGCCAGAGAAAGCTGATAAAGTACTTGCTGGAACACCTTCTTACAGCTTCGGCTCCAAGCATAAAGAACTTAGGGGTGACGATGTTCCTGGTACTTAACCCATACCTTCACACCTGTTTATGTTAGACATGTCAATTGGACTCTGGTAGTTCAAGATTTTTTGCCCTTTCTACCAATACTTCTAACTCATTCTGTCACTTTACTGCATGGTCTTCCATCATAAATGTTGAACATCCTTCCGGCACATATTTTCACAATGTATTGTCATCACATTCCCTCAATACAGCACCCGGAACCTACCGGCCAGAAAAAGCTGACAAAGTACTAGCTGCTACACCTTCTTACAGCTTTGGCTCCAAGCATAAAAACTTGAGGCCGGACGATGTTCCCAATAATTAACCCATATGTTTATCTTTGATTCCGTACTTTCTACCAATGCAACTATATCTTCCTCTTACTGTACTGCATGCTGTTTCATCACAATCTTTGAACATTCTTTATGCATGTACCCTCACAATGCATTTTGACCGCACTGCCCTAATACAGCACCCGGAAGCTACCGGCCGGAGAAAGCTTACAAAGTACTTGCTGGAACACCTTCTTACAGCTTCGGCTCCAAGCATAAAGACCTTAGGCCCGACGATGTTCCTGGTAATTAACCCATATCTTCACACCTGCTTATCTTAGACATGACACTCTGACTTTGGGTTAGTTCAAAATGTTTTGCCTTTCTACCAATACTTCTACTTCATACTGTCACTTTACTGCATGCTCTTCCATCATAAACGTTAAGCATCCTTTCTGCACCTATTTTCACATTGTATTTTCATCACATTGCCCAAATACAGCACCAGGGACCTACCGGCCGGAAAAAGCTGACAAAGTACTAGCTGCTGCACCTTCTTACAGCTTCGGCTCCAAGCATAAAGACCTTAGGCCCGACGATGTCCCGGGTAATTAACTTATACCTTCAGACATGTTTATCTTAGATATGGCACTTGGACATTTGATAATACAAGATTCTTTGCCTTTCTACCAATACATCTATATCTTCCTTTTACTGCACAGCATGCTCTTTCATCACAAACTTTGAACATCCTTTATGCACGTAACTCACAACACATTTTCACCGTATTGCCCTAATACAGCACCCGGAAGCTACCGGCCGGAGAAAGCTGACAAAGTACTCGCTGGAGCACCTTCTTACAGCTTCGGCTCCAAGCATAAAGACCTTAGGCCCGACGATGTTCCTGGTAATTAACTCATACCTTCACACCTGTTTGTCTTAGACATGGCACTTAGGCTTTGGATAGTTCAAGATTATTTGCCTTTCTACCAATACAACGAGCTCTTTCTGTCACTTCTCTGCATTCTCTTCCATCATAAACGTTGAGCATCCTTTTTGCATGTATTTTCACAATGTATTTTCATCACATTGCCCTAATACAGCACCGGGAACCTACCGGCCGGAGAAAGCTGACAAAGTACTAGCTGCATCCCCGTCTTACAGCTTCGGCTCCAAGCATAAGGACCTTAAGCCCGACGGTGTTCCTGGTAATTAACCCATACCTTCACATCAGTTTATATCAGATAAGTCTTGGCTTTTCGATAGCACAATATTCACCTTTCTGCCAGTACTTCTACCCGTGCTTGTTACTGTAGCGCATGCTCTTCAATCATGAACGTTTAACATCGCTTATGCAAGTTTTATTACAATGCATTTTTACCTACATTGCCCTAATACAACACCCGGAACCTACCGGTCGCAGAAAGCTAACCAAGTACTAACTGCTACACCTTGTTACAGCTTCGACTCCAAGCATAAAGATCTTAGGCCGGACGATGTTCCTGGTAATTAATGCATGCCTTCACACATTATTATTTGAGGTAATAACTCTGTCTGCCGATAGCACTACGTTACCTAAATTACTGTAATATGCATGTAGTTGCACACTGTTTAGCACTCTCTTGCACGCTATTCTAAAATATGATTGAACAGGTTTGGAAGCCGTTTTTCGGTGATGTTTTTCTTTATGTTGTATTAATACAACACCTGGAACCTACCGCCCGGAATAAGCTGACAAAGTACTAGCTGCAACGCCTCCTTACAGCTTGGGCTCCAAGCATAAAGATCTTAGGCCTGACGACGTACCCGGTAACTAAGACATACCTTCGCACACCCTTATCTCAGATAATGACTCTAGGACTGCAGATAGTACCACAATAACTATCCTCCTCTAATCTGCCAGTACTTCCACCCATAGGCGTAGACTATGGGAAGGGGGGGGGGGGCATCGGGGCTCGCCTCTCCCCCTAATGATATCCGGTGGGGGGGGGGGGGGGGGGGGCAGAGCCTCCCCTCTCGCGCCATGATCCTTACCAAGACGCCGTTTACGTGCCATGTAACGAGCTTCTAGTAGTGGCATGTAAACAAAATAACACTCACAGCGACGGACACATGGCGATATACATACGCTGTGAAATGTACCCCCTAAAATAAACTAGTGATAATTGCCGATGTAAAAAAAAAAAATTGCGCGGAAAAGCACCCCCTCCCCTCCGGCCCCCCCCCCCCCCCCCCCCCCCCCTGGCCCGGGAAAATGGAAAGTCTACGCCGCTGCTTGCACCTCTTTCTGGCACGTATTGTATGCTCTCTTATAAAGAATGCTGGTTAATTATGCACGTCTTCTTACCACGCATTTTCAATACTTTGCCCTTCTACAGCACGGGGAGCCTACTGGTCAGACAAAGCTGACAAATTACTAGCTGCAACACGTTCTTACAGCTTCAGCTCCAAGCAGAAAGACATTAGGCTTAACGATGTTCCTAGTTCTAAATACAAACTTTCATGCAGGTTTCTCTTAAACATTTGCTCTTGAATTGCCGATGGTACTACATTAAATATCCTTCTCTAGTCTACCAATACTTATGTCTCTACTCGTCACAGCACTGCAGGCTCTTCCATGAAAAGCGTTAAACATGCTGTATGCTCCTTTTCGTGCAATGAATTTTCACTACGCTTCCCTAATACAGCACCCGGAACGTACCGGCCAGAGAAAGCTGACAAAGTACTAACTGCAACACCTTCCTACAGCTTCGGCTCCAAGCATAAAGATCTTAAGCCCCACGACATTCCCGGTAATTAAGGCAAACCTTCATACACTTTTACCTCAGATATCGGTATTTAACCGACCATAGTACAACATTATTTATCCTTATTTAAAGTGCCGATTCTTTCTGATCTGACTGGCGCTGTCTAGTATGCTCCTATATTCGGAAAGTTAAATATGATGTATGCAGCTCGTCGTAATACGCATTTTCACTTTAATTTTATTTTTACGTCGCGTGCAACCTACTGACGGGAAAAAGCTGACAAAGCACTAGCTCCATTTAATTATTATACGGCCTTGGTTCAAAGAAGAAAGTTCAAGTCTGGTGGTGTTCTCGGTAGTTGTAAAATACTTGAATGCATGTTAGTCTTGGCTAATGCACCCTAATGCCGCATATAACCGTCTCGCGTTTGTATTGCCTAGCCTCCCTTTTTCTCTCTACCTGGCACTCGTTCGCATTTACTTGTGTCACTGATGCCGACCATGTCTAATGAACTTCATCTCACAGTGCACCTCTTTTACGTTTCATTCTACAGCACCCGGCACCTACTACCCCGAGAAAGCTGACAGAGTACTAACCGCAACACCATCGTACAGCTTCGGTTCCAAGCAAAAACCTCTTAGCCCTAACGGCGTGCCTGGTAATTATGAGAAAAAGCATTACCATTTATCCCAACCAGTAATGCGGAGCCTGGAGCACGCCTTTGACCCGTGTCTTTACCGTGTCCTCAAAATGATTCCTCGATTTCCGACCAATGACATCATCAGTGTCATGCTCTAGTCCGCCGCGATCCTGGCGGTATGACGGCAGCGGGGGTGAGTGCGGCAGACGCCTGTTCTGCTGTAGGTCGCCCTAAAACCAGTCGACGGAAACTATAGCAGACAGAATATAGAACGCCGCGACGACAGCGATCCGTGCGTCCACTCGCCATTTTCGCCGGCATTTCCTACCACCAACCGCCAAGATCGCTACCTCTCAGAGCATATATGGCACGCCAAGTCCTGTGACGCATTATGTTGCCACAACGAGGTCACTTTCGATACGTGGGCGGTAAAGTACGGTAAATATACCATTCGAAAAAGCGTTACGGGCACCGTACAAAATGGCGCATGGCTTATCTGTGATTCAAGATTATTTGCGGTTCTCCCTTGCATGCCTGGCTGGCACTGTTTTGCACGTTCCTATCTCGCTGGCGCCTAGCATGTTATATAACAGTGCATCTTCCTTTCCTTGGCTTCTGCAGCACCAGGTACCTACTGCCCTGAGAAAGCTGACAAAATACTAGCGGCCACACCTTCCTACAGTTTTGGTTCCAGGCAAAAGGATCGTGTGCCAAACGGCATTCCCGGTAATGATAACCTGATAAGTCTGATTACGTATCACTGCTCATTATATATATTAATAGCACAAGATACATATCTTCCCTCTCACGTATCATTGCCTACATATCTCCATAAAACTATTTATAAAATGTTCAGGTAAAAGAAAGAATGAACGCGAAAAGGAGTCCACATGTTTGCGACGTTCTTTGTTTTGCGTTGTTACTGTTTTGTTTTATCTTACTTTCAGTAATACGCCCATCAGTTCATATTAGAAAGTTAACTGCCACGATCCAGTTGTTTTACGAATGCATCTAACAAACATCACCGAGGCATACGGTAGTTTATTTCTATCGCACAGTTTTGAATGTGAACATAATGGCTTCAATTTATAATTATTTACCCGAGAACCATCAGAATATAATTTCACGCAAGTCAGCCGTCATCTTATTTTCTCTACGGTATAATGGTGGTAAATTTTCCTTTCTGTGCAATCTCCAAATTGTTAGACACTAAATTACCGAGTGTTAATCGGAGCGCTTGCCGCAGCCAAAAGCCTCATATCACTGAGCTATATCTCTAGACATTTATGAAGAACCCTCAGCGCGCAGTATAGCTTCCTTCCTATTGATAATCACAACTACCAAAGTCGCCCGTGGTTTTAGCCACAGCTAAAGGAATTAGAAAAAGTACTATCGTAAGTGAAATCACGAATATTCGGTAGTGCAATGTAATATCGTTCTGTTTGATATCGCACTATCCTCATCTTAAAATCACAATTTCGTAACCTGTACCATCCTCGAGCTCAACTATGAAACCAGCTACCCGTAGATCCCCGTCAAGCTAACATTCCTAACGCATGTGTTGTTTTTTCCCCAATAACGTGCATTTTGAGCTGCCCCCTTCGGCACCTGATACCCAGCTTTTAGAGAATGACGCTAGTAATTACGCCTCTATCACCGTCGGACTTACGCACAACTCCACTTTACGCCAATTGTTCTAACCTTAGCTAAAATAGTACGAGAAACCAAGATATACCAACACCACCGAGAATAATCGATGCATGCAATCATCCTCTTTTTCCTACATGAAACGTCATCACAGGCGGATTGCGCCAACTCAGCAATTAGACCCGAGCCCGGTGCCGAGTGTTCCTCGCCGCATTGATTGGACACGATTCCCAGCCGAATGCTCAGGCAGCGCTCGTGTCCAATCATTGCCTTCGCTCGAACTCGCTGTGCTGATGATGTCAATACTCTAGTGTTGAAGCTTCAAATATTCTGGGTGGTGTTGGATATACTAAAAAAGAACGTCACTATTTTTTTTTCCTTTTTATGCATGGCCGCCTACTTGGTGGGCAGGCGGCCATGAGGTTTTGCAAAAAAAGTAAAATGCTCCCGTGAAGTTAACGTTCCATTCACAATTTGTTTTAATAGTCACATGTAATAAATCATGATCTTAAAAAGCATTATCCGATAATCACGACATTTATAACTCAAAACTTTGTTTCCCGTTAACACGAGGCTCCGGCACTATCATTGATCTATCGCAAGAATAACATCTCTATATGAAGCATTCTTTTTTGACTGGTATACTTTTAATGCATGTCCTACAGTGACGCATGTGCTCTTTCTCTAACTCGCCTTCCTCAGCGCCCGGTGCCTACAGCCCCGAGAAAGCTGACAAAGTTCTAGCAGCTACGCCGGCCTACAGTTTCGGTTCCAAGCATAAAGACCTTAGGCCCGATGATGTTCCCGGTAATTATGTTTGCCCTCTTTGTCCTTCTGCATTCGTTAATGCGGAGCACAAGTTCGTCTGCTTCTTCTGTGGGGGTTGTGGTGACGTCAGAACGCCGAGCTCTGATTGGTTCTGAATGAAGGATAGTGGGTAGACCTCAAGGCAGATGGCTTTGAAGTCTACCCATCATCCTTTCAATCAGGACGAATTAGAGCGCGGCGTGTCGCTGACGTCACCGCAACTCCCGCAAAAGAAGCAGACGACTTGTTCGCCGCATAGTCAAGATAGCTTAAGAAACGTAGGGTATGGATAGCCCTGAGCGGCTTATTATTGATCCGCGGCCAATCAGACTCCGGCATTGGCCTACAACAACACCGAAGAACAAATCACCAACAACGAAGAGTTTTTAGAGCGCAGCTCTTAGGGGCCCGTTTTCAGCCTGAGCGGCGTCGGCGTCGGCGTCGGCGTAACCGGGGGGGGGGGGGGGGGGGGTCACGTGACCCCCCCGAGGTCACGCCCCCCCCCCCCCGAAACTTCTAAGAGCCGCGGGGGGGGGGGGGGGGGGGACAAACTTAAAGGGGGGGGGGGGTGCAACGATTTTCCGACTTCGGTTAAAGATTTCTGGAAGTTGCCCCCTGGCACTTCTGATGTAAAGAACAGAAACCCGATTTCGCCCGCGTGTCCTAGTTGTTGCGTAAAAAAAAGATAAACATTGGCATTTCGGGCACCCCTCAACTCACTCCCAGTCTTCAAGGTAACACCTGGTCGCACTCCCAGTGACGTCGTTCGGAGTGCCGTGTAGCTTCCCGTGTGCTATCTCGGAGGGCGCTTCCCCTCCCTCTCTCTGCGCACATTAGCGGGCGCTATGCTGCAGCTTAGAGCCGAGCGAGGTCACGTAATCTTTCCGCCATAGTTCCTCCGGCTGCCACTTGGGGCTGCAGGTGGGGGAAAAAGCTCGACTTTTGCTTTGCGATTATGCAGTGGAATCACGACATTCTTAATGAAGGAAGTGTTTTCTCTATCCTCCGGGACACGATAAACAACGTAAAAATGACGAGATGCAAATCTTTTTAATCATAAAATCGTTGCACCGCCCCTTTAAATTTTGTTCAGAGTCTAACTGTACGTATGGGGGGCACAAGGCTGCCAAACCGTGAGCCGTGCTTTATTCTGAAATCCTTTTTTTTTTTTTCCTGGGGAAACGCGGAAAGGCGCGGGGGGGGGGGGGGGGGGGGTGCCCTTACGAGGGATCTGCGAGCCGTCACTTGGACCAGCAAAGAGCCGCATGCGGCTCGCGTTTGGCCAACCCTGCTCTATGTTATTCTCCTCTAAAACCGAAACTTAACCAGCACGCTCCATTTCCACGAGAGTAACTTACCTCGTTTAATAAAACTGTTTTAGGCAATCTACGTGGCCGATTCGCAGGCGATGCACGCGTAATGCTAACAGATGGCGTACGCAGCGTCGAGGGAGCGCCAAACAGTTCAAGAAGAGGGAAAGGAGGGACCCCTCTCTTGCTCGGACCCTCGTTTGTGTACCCGGTCTCCCCCTAGAAGATCAGCCTGTCGCTCAAAATTCAGACAATAGTGGCTTTCCCCACCCCGTTCACCCCTAAGCTGACAGTGCTGTGGGAGCTACGTGCTTGTTAGGCAAGCCACACTTTTGCCACGTGATCACGCTCCCTCGCGCATACCCACGCGAAGAGAATGGGGTTAGGTGATGAAAGGGAGGCGGCTAATTGGTGCGGCAAGCGCCACTGCACTGTCAGCTTAGGGGTGAAAGGAATAAGTGAGGTCGGGTGTCGCGTGACATGTGTTGGGGCCGGTGACGTGATTTGGGTACCGCGGATGTACACATTAAAAAGGAAGAGAACTTCCGAAAGAAAAAAAATGCGAAATAGTTCGCTATTTTATTTTTTTTTTTTTTCACGTTTTTCTATCGAAATTTAGGCTTTTGATTTTCTGCCTTTTTTCTTTTGGCCCACTAAACGATATGCTAGTGGTAAAATCCCAATCTAAATTCAGTTGTCCCTACCCAAAGTTCGTTTTATGGCCCCTTTAAAGGCGTTAGTTTACACGCTGTATAGTTGCCTCCCCAGTGGCATGAACTGACTGCTCGGTTATGCCATTGGACGCGTCTGTTTGCCTCTGTGCAGCCCCCGGTGCCTACTGTCCCGAGAAAGCAGACAACGTGCTTGCTGTCACCCCTGCTTACTCCTTTGGTCTCAAGCCAAAGGATGCTAGACCGGACGACATTCCTGGTAACCGCACGAGTATTACCTTTGCTCCGTCTCAAGAACAGTGCGCCACGGGCTCTAAAGGCTGGTCCACACATTTCTGCTTGACTGCGCCTTACTGCGTTCCGTCCCCTAATAACCGCTTACTATGAGAAAACACATTAGCACACTGGCACCCTCTCTCAGGTAGTCCTGGTATACTTCCGCTCTGCGTACATATTGTTATAACTTTCAAGCACCATTCTTTGAACGTGGGCTTGGAATAATTCTGGCAGTGTTATTGGCGACCTTCTCGTAGAGAGTGCGTACATTTGATTTTGCAAATACTGCCAAACCTCCGGTCTAGTTGTATACATAGTTCCATGGCTACCCGACGGATGGCGCGAGTGTGCTACTATGTTCTCTTCCCGTAAGCGTTTACAAGGAAACGCAATGCATTTGAGAGCACTCAACCGTAAATGTGCGAAGCAGCCTTAAGGACTGCAGAGGTTTCAAAGCGCAGACTCGTGAAATAAGTTTGTTTCTATAGAACTCGCGTAAGGGGAACTTGTAGAGCTGCGTTTTCCCGTTCCTGTCATTGCTGATATGGCGCAGAACTCTATAAGTGAACCATAGAAGCAATCTGAACGGATAATGACCTTTTTAGTGACACTGTTTCCAACGAATCACATCAGTATGGTATGAAGATTCTTGAACAGCAGATTTACAAGGAAATCTTGGTTTATTTTTTTATTTCACTATTTGTGTTATGTGTTTGTTTATCTAGTGGTAAATCAGCCGCAATGCGCGTCTGGTGTCTTCGCCGTAGGTGAGAAATATAGCTAGTGCAGTACTGTTGCTAGCCTGAGATCTTTGACGTACATCACGCAGTAGTGATACACGACCGCACGCCGGTACGATGCTCATTAAGGCCGAAAGGGTGGGGATTCAACTCAGGATCTCTGGGTTCTGCAGCGCGAGCTTTTGCTTCACCCTTCTTTGAGCAGCTGTGCGTTAACACACTTGTCCACCGACTCCCCGGTTCTACTATGGCTTCAGCGGTCGATCAACGGGATGTATGGCATTCAGACTTCGTAGCATTTTTTTTTTCTTGTTTGAGCAATGCAATTTTACATCTAGAACAAAACAAGAACTAAGTCTTTGACTAGCTGTATATTTATAGCTACATACTAAGATCTTAGGCAAGTGAGGCAGGTTCGCAAGCAATCTGTTGCTGAAAAATGTTTCAATTGATAGAGCGTCTCTCAATTCAATTCAATGCTGATTCCTGTCCTTGCCACGCAAATTAGTAGTGCTATTATATATATTTAAAACGAGACGAACACGGTACTTAGTACATTGTTGGTCCTAGATTGGTCGGTTGTTTTTCTATTAACCCCTATCTTTTCGTAATTACAGCCAACTGTGTTAACTGCGCGCAGTGTATTTCACGTGAAGGTCGTATTAATCCTACATCATATTTGAAAGTGTCTAAAATAAGCGCGCGTAACGTTGCATTTAATCTTAATAATCTCATAAAATCAGGCTTTATCAAGGACGCAAATATATATATATTTTTTTTAATGTAAATTTATTGTATGCCTCCATTTTAAGATGCATTTTAATGACTCGTTACATAGTAACACATAAAGGCGGAGCACAAAAATCCAAACATCGTCGCGCCAGGAAGACAAAACCAGAATAAAGCAGGCGGCGTAATACTAAGATCCCAAAAATTAATTTTATATATACGAAACATATAGCACTCGCAATGATTAATAGCTAAAATGCACGATGTTGAAAAAAAATGAAAGACGTTTACAACTGCCTGTAATGCCGAATTAGAGCGCAGCTCTTAAGGAGGAGGAGGGTATGGTAAGAAGAGGAGGGTACGCACCTCTACCTCGCTCGTCTTGTGCATTCCTCCCTTTGTCCTTGTTTTTGTGCGCTTCTACTAGTTGTAATCATGAACCAACTCGCCTGCATCGCCATATTGATCCCTGCTCCTCCCCCTACCCCCTCCTTCCCTCTCCCTTCCTCCTCTCTCCCTCCTCTCTCGTGACGTCAGTCATGACCCTAGTGACCCTTGTGACGTCACGTGTGAAGGTCGTGACCTTCGTCGTGACCTTCACGAGTGACCTCCATGACGTCACTCGTGACCATCGTGACATCACACGTGACGTCACGTGTGAAGTCATTATGGGAAATGTCCCATTATGCAACGCGCCGTCACGAGTGACGTCACAAGTGACCACAGTGACGTCACGCGTGACATCATTATGGGAAACGTCCCATAATGCGACGCGCGGTTACGCCGACGGCGACGCCGCTCAAGCCGGAAACGGGCGCATAAGTGCTGCGCTCTAAAACTTGCCAGCGCTGGTTCCTGATACGGAAATTTTGAACGATCCTAGTTCGTAAATTGTCATATTAATATGGAGAAAAAATCTTATAACCAGTGTTGTACACGTTCCTCAAAAAAAGTAACGAAAGCTCGTTCCTCGTTCCTTCTGATTTTTGGAACGCGTTCCCGTTACAAGTTCCATCCGTGAGAAAGGAACTCGTTCCCGTTACAGTTTAAAAAATGGAACGTATCGTTACGTATACGTTACTTTTGTATTTTTTGCTAATTACCATATTTAGTTAAATCAAGCAGAGTTTTCTTATTTTTTTATCTATCCCGTTAATAGTCAACATACGAGTTTGTATGTCGTGATGGAAGGGCACCCGGAGAAGAAAACACGCGGAAGCAGGGTTTCATTTCTTGATATATTCATGGTAAAAATCTCAGCTATTAACCATGTCCATGCTTGTAGTGCACAATTCAGACGAGCCAAGTGTACTTTTACCCAAGATAGCACGAGCGTTTTACAACAACCTCGAACGTTTCAATTTAACAGACTCCCGTGTTAGAACTTAACAACAGTTGCTTCTCGATGTCGCTGTTCGCGAGACGAGCAAGTAAAAGAGAAGGTAGGGCTTTTGGAAAGTCACTCTTGAAAGCTACCAATACCTCGTTGTGAAGGTTGGATTTGCTGTTCAGTTCTAAGTTGGGGGACAAGAGGAGGAATAAAGGTTATTTTTTGTGTATCTTGTAAGTGACCAATGTTCGGGATACAAGGGTGAGTCCGATATCTGGCAATCTGTGATCTTGTGGTAAATGTAGGTCTCGATCGTTATTGAAGTTCAGAAATGGCTGTAGTCAGAATACGATTTCTGGGTGTGTAAAGATTCGTGGAACAAAAGAAGGTAACCGAGTTGAAAACAACCCTCCTTCTTTGTCTTTTCCTACTACTAAAAGTTTTGCTTTTTGTACCGCAGTTTCGGGCACTCAAAAAAGAATCAATGCCCACCAGCTCTCCTGCACCCTTAACTGTTAGCAAGCGAGGACCACACAAAATAATTCATAAGCTTAGTGACCAAAAAGTTAACGAGATCCTGGGGGGCTGCGCTTTTTGGACTCCCAGGAGACTAGGGAGAGGGAAGTGACGTCAACGACACAGCAAACGCAGATTGGATGTTGATTTTGTTTTCTTCCGTCAACATCCAATCTGCGTTTGCTCTAGTCGTTGACGTCACTTCCCTTTTCCAAGTCTCCTGGGAGTCCAAAAAGCGCAACATAGCACCCCTGCACTTCGTAAAGATATTGTTTTTGTATCTTCATACTTTCTCTGTTAGAAATAAAATAAAAATGACCCCACTGGACGAAAAAAAGGAACGCCGTTACTCTTTCCGTTCCAGTAAAAATGTAACGCGTTCCCGTTCCAGTTCCAGCGATGCAAAATGGAACGGCGGCGTTCCTTCGTTCCTCCTAAAAGGAACGCGTTCCAGGAACGCCGTTCCTTGGAACGCCGTTCCGTACAACACTGCTTATAACCCCGCTTTCTGAAAAGAAAAATGAAATTTTCTGGGCCCGTAAGAGGCATAATAAATAATGCTATGTCCGCAACGGTACGCAGCATAACAAGACAACTTATTCAATGAGAACATCTACCCTCATTTCGTTACACTTTCTTTCCGTTAGGCGAATATTTTCATAACCCTGTAACAACCCATCAGAATCCGTTTATACCATTCTTTCTCAAGCATGACTACTCACTGCTTTTGGTATGGTACTTTTAACGGAGCGCGACAGAACGCAGCTTTTTATTAACAGTCACCCCTCGATTAATCCCTGCCCTTGCTTGCATATCGCTAAAAGAAAAAGCATTATACTAATCCCACAGTATACTCGATTGTTTATGAACGGACCGTTTATGAACGGACCGGTTGGCTTTGAATTTTGATGAAGTCTATTCTGGCGGTGACAGTAACTGTAAGTGATAGTACAGTTGTTGCATCGTTGTCAATATTCGGAGCGCCAGTTCGCGTGCCTCTTGCGCAGAAATTGCCATTGACGTCAAAACGCAGAGCCCTGATGGACTCCGATTGGAAGGATGGTGGGTAGACCTCAAGACAGCTAACATTGTGCCCTACCCACTATCCTTCCAGTCAGAGCCAATCAGAACTCTCCGTTTTGAGACCACTACAACACCTGCGCAAAAAGGAGACCAATTTGCGCTCCGCACAGTGTATCGTTCTTGTGTGGGCTGGTAAGAATAGACAACTCGGGTGTAAGGATAATAATGCCTTAGTTTATTCCGTGTTGTTCTTTATATAGCCGAAGGTGGAAAGGGGTTAGTATAGTAGAGGGCAAGGGAAAGGCACGTGGCAATGGAGCACACAGATAGCTTGTCCGCCTTGATCTGATACGATACAAACAGAAACCCGTACAGTACAGCGTGCGACGAGAACTTCGTCGAGAACAGATCATTCGCGCAATACTCATTCCCTTACCCCCTATGGCGTACGCTTGTCATTAACAGCACCGGGTGCCTACTGTCCTGAGAAGGCCGGCAGTGTCCTAGCGACAACGCCTGCTTACACCTTTGGCCTGAGGCCAAAGGATGCAAAGCCTCACGACATTCCCGGTAATCTCCGCTACACTTTTCCGCACCTACTCCCAAACATATGCGCCGCACTATACCGACTTTACTCTGCTATATTCACGTACTCACCAATCAACCAGAAAAAATCACTATAATTCCATTCGTTTCTTCACCTAACAAAAAAAAAAAAATTATTAGATCAATCCCGGGTAGCACAATTCTCTGAGCCTGTAGTCTTTTTCTGGAAACTTTTGGTCTTAAAAAGCCCGCAGAAGCCAAGGCAGAGCCAGGCCTTTTTTCCTGACCTTTTTTTTAGCCAGGGTCTGAGTACCTTGGCCCCGGTTCGCCAAACAAGTGCCAAAATTAAGCTTCACTGCCAGCGTTCCGGGTGTCATCTTGCATCTTTAGAACCAAATCGCCAGACAAGCGCCAGAGTTAGGTTTCACTGCTGGTTCTTTGGTTCATACGTGACATCTTTGGCTGAAGTCTAGCACCTTGGCATTTATATGGTGAGCCAGAAAAAGGCCATATAAACGCCAGAGAAATGCTGTGACACAGACTACAACGCCTTGGAGAAAAATCGTATTGGGCCCCACATCAGGCCCCCATAAGATTCATAAGCTTGTGCCAGTTGATCGTCTCTCGCGTGCTAACTGGGATAGCTTTATATGGGAATTCTGCACATGCCATGCTAGCTCGTGTTGGTGTTGGCCGCACCTTGTATCAAGGTAATGGGAGGGAGGGTCAGCAAACGGAACGCAACTTTTGGTTTGATGTCATAGCAGGCTCGACCAATGGCGTTGCGACGTGCAGAGTGGAAATGCAGAAGGGGGGTACAAGCGAGATAAGTGATACACTAACACTACCCTCTCCCCACTCCTTCCGCTGCGTACGAAAAGGGGGGGAGTGGGGGAGGCGGGGGGGGGGGGGGGCTGCGTGGTAGGTAGGAACTGCGTATTACTGCCATTGCATTCTCAATGCGTTTGACCGAACGTCTCACCCTGAGCGATTTTCTGTCGCTGTGTTCTTCCTGCAGCACCGTGCAAGTACAACGTCCCGGACACCGACACCTACAAGAGCAAGTCTCCGGCGTACACCCTCAGTTACCGGACCAACATCCCATCAGACCAGACGAAGAAGCCCGGACCCGGAGCCCACTCACCCGAGAGAGTGAGAACGCCTTTTTTAGAAAGCCATTAGTCGAGTAGGTGACGTCATCAAACACGTGCCATATAACGTCATTAGTCACGTGATTCAATGACGTCATTTCAGTTTTATAGCCACCCTGCCGCAGGAGGGGCTCTCTTGCGGGGCGTGGCACCTAACTCACATTGACTGGCTTAAGCGATCATGTGACCACAGCAACAACCAATCGCGTTCTCGCTGGAAGTCATGGCATGAGTCTCGGTAGATAAGTAAATTTGCCCCAAGAAATACGCACACCGGAAACGTAATCTAGCTATGATGATTTTGTCAGGTATCGCCAAAATACTACCGCAACTGTTTCGTTGATGCATGATCATTTATGACGCTTGTTACTGCGTCAATATGCCTGCATATCAATATTCTGGCTTTATCATACGCGAGAGCAGGGTGCGCACAAACCCGGATATACAGTATGCAAGAACATCGAAGAGATACGACACCGTGCCACTTTCCATACTAATAGACAAAGTCGCATTTACACGATAAATGATAATAAAGAATCATATAAAAAGCTCAGATACGTGTAGGATTATAGCAACCCAACAATTATGTTAATACTAAAAGCGAGCGAGCGCGTACAAGTATAAGTTATTCATGCCCCTCATAAACACAACTTTCTTTTCTACCTGGAGTCACGAATTAACCTACGGAGTAAGAAGACTTCAGCCATGTTGGTGCGCAGAATCAGTGTTGTTAGCTGTCACCAGATTTTGCCGACGACGATGTCCGATGGATGATGCAAGAAATACACTCCACCATTCCTGCTTGCTAGAACAGTTCACAAACAGCTAAAAAACGAATCCGTGATGATTTCCTAACGCTACTTCTACCGCTCCAAAAATTCAAATTTCGGAAGCCAAAACTGACGCAAACGGCGCCCGTGTGACAACGTAATTAGATTAGCTTAGTTACGGAACCCCCCCCCCCCCCCGCCCCCCCCCCCTCACTCACCACGGCTCGTCACCCGTCGTTCGACGCGCCGGACGGTTGCTAGGGTAACTGCAGTGTAATCTACGGAATGCGTACGTTTTGAATCACGGCGTCTAGATGGCGTTACAGCTCTGCTCTATGAAACGCACAGTTATGAAACGAAAATCTAGATGGCGCTTCGAACGACTAGAGGCGAACTGAAGTGAGTGGGGGGGGGGGGGGGGGGGGGGGGGGAGTGTGGAACTCCCCCTCCGCGGGAGTTCCACAACTGAGGTAATCCAGTAACTTTGCGTGTGACTCTTAAGTACCAAAATGGCGGAGCCCACGAGCCTCTAACATGTAAAGAAATGTCACATGACGCCAACGGACGAATCACTCTGAGCGTAGCTTTATTTGGTCACTGACAGCCTGAGAAACGACAGGGTGTGGCTTGTTATGTGCACGCTTCTTGCTTCGTGATTGGTTCCTCACCGTTTTCGTCTGCTAATGCCGCGATCTCATTGGTTGACGTGCGATAAGGAGATGCTCAGCCATCGCAACGCCCCGCGTTTTCTTTAGCTGTTAGTTACTATAGTGGTTCTACGCCCCACAACACCCTTTCTCCTGTTTTATGCAAAGTGTCCCCCCCCCCCCCCCCTTTTTTCAAAAAAAAAAAAAAAGTTTATATTGCAATGTTTTTTGTTTGTTTGTTTGTTTGCAAAAATGAATTACGCAGCGCTGAACGCTTAAGGCCCGTTCATACTCTTGCGACTGAGTAAGACCGAGAGAGACCAGACCGGTTTTTAAGCCTCTTGCGATCTCTTAAAACCAGCTCCGCTGCATCGCACCTGGTCCTAAGAACTCGCAAAAAGCTTAAAAACCGGTCTCGTCTCTCTCGGTCGTACTCGGTTGCAAGAGTGTGAACGGGCCTTTATTCTACCCCGAAACGTAGGGCTAGCGGTCCGGACCAGATACCACAAAGTTCCCGAATCAACCGTTATCTCAATCAAAACATATAAGGGATTTTCTAAACGTTACTGTTCCTAATGTGCCTAATGTGTGCCTTCCAGGTGTGGATGAACAAAAGCAGCTCGCCAAGGTTCACCTTCGGTATCAGGCACAGCCCGGTAGCCGAGAACCCCAAGTAGACCTTTCACTGCCACGGCAAGCACCGCCATCTACCGCACAAAACGGTAAAAGTGATAGCAACACGTAGGCAAGGGTCGTATTTGTTGCTTAGACTTCAGCTGGATCATCGAACCAGTATCACCAAAGCTCAAAGGCGGATAGAGTGTAGTAGTTTGCGCGTCGACACCCAATGTGCTTGCAATTTGCTTGAGACAGCTCCTCTGAGGACTGGTTCACACACCCGTATTTCGTGATCGCTTAGGACGAGAGAAGGATGGATGGATGGATGAATTCGGCTGACACCTTTGGATCGGGCGGTAGCTTACGCCACCTACCCTACCGAAAAAGCCGGTATATCTTTTCGCTATCCGGATTATGGAATTGGAAATCTATCTGGATTCTATCTGGACTCCATCTGGAATTTAGGTTTTCAGAAATTATTCCTTTGTCTGCAATCTGGATTTCGGGTTTCCAGAAACAAATTTCCGGTTCCATAATCCGGATAGTGAAAAGTTATACCGGATTTTTCGGTAGGGTAGCCATTTTGTTTTACCATTTAAGCTTAGAATATTTAAATGTGAAAACTATATTCACTCCGCACTGAAACAAAAGGGAGGCTATAAAACCCCCTTGCCATCAGTTAATAAGAAAATACCTAGCTTTTTCTCGCTTTCTGCCACCATTCACTTAATCTTTGCTTGGTAATCCCTACTGTCTGAACACGCTGATACTCGGCGCCACCTAGCCGGCAGCGCTGCAACTGTGTCTAGTAGACTGAAGGTTTTGCAGTATTTTTGAGTTCAGATGTACGTGATATTCATAAGAAACGGTTGCTTATAACATTCTCAGAATTATTTCAAGCACGCTGTGATGAATGATGAGCAAGAAAATGAGGAGACATGCGCAAATTCGAAGCGTTCCAGCTCTGCCCGATAGATGGCGCCAGTATGTTCTTTCGTCGTAAGCGATCGAACTCAGTACCACTCTCACGCAAGAGTGTAAACCAGCCTTAAAGAGTTTAGCAAGGATTTTGAGTTTGGGAAGAGGATTCTTTGTCAGAAATAATAAGTGCTAGTTATACAAAAAACTGCAATATCAAGAAACATTTTATTAAATACGATTAAATTACATGTTCAATAAAGGGCGACTCATTGCAGTTCGCATACCTTTTTTCGCAGATGGTCTAGAGTTGGAGATCTGCAGTTTGTCAAAATATTATAAAGTCCAAGTATCAATGCTTAATTTGTTTCCTTAATGGCTCGGCTAAAGGTTTATCTTGTCAAGACAACATAAAAGAAAGTATGGGGGGGGGGGGGGGTTGTTTAGAGCAATGCTATGGAAATAATAAGGCACATATGCCACCATTTTACACCTCTACAGTGGCGTCTTCCGTCAATAGCGTTAAAACCGAAGCATAAGCTGTCCAAGCCTCGTCTTCAAAGAAAGCAATATTTGCAAATTCTGAGCTATGCCAGACAGAGACATACGTTAGCAGTCGGCATGCAAAAATACTTTCAGTTGCTTCTTTCGTTGGTAAAATATGAGTCTCATAAAAAAATTACCTTTACAGGCCCGTGGAAGACTAAGAAGTTGAAGTTCCTGAAGAGGGCGGACAACTACGACTGCACAGGCGCCACCTGTGTGCGTCAACCCGAAGGAAAGCCTTGACAAAGAGCACCAAAAGTTGATGGCCACAATTTTTGTCTTCCGTTTAGCACCAAGCGAAAATATTCGAAGTCTGGGCATCATATAGAACAAGCTATGGAAAACAACAGGGAGTCGTGTGCAAAGTTCGGGCGAGAACCAGACATTGTGGAGGCACCCAGCGTGTGCTCCTGAGAAATATATGCAATATGCCTTAAGATGTGTTGCATCATGCCACTGTTTTTTTGTTTTTTTTTTACATAATAACTTTTGATACGCTAAATAAGCTGAAACTAAAACACATTTTTTCAAGTTCAATCGATTTAGCGCACTCTTTATTTGCTTTATAATATGCCAATAGGTCATCAATTCATTCTTTTATCATTTTTTTTTAAGTTTAAAGTAGATTTATTTTGAAGTCTAGATATTTTTTTTTTCTACAACTCCGACAATTTATTGCCGCTCGTTTGGTCACATTCCTTAACTGCTTCATTTCGCCACGCTTTTCACGTCTTCTTACTCACAATGTTTAGAAAATGGCTTTATTTTTACACTCAAAAGAATATAATAAATATAAAACGTTTTTTACAAACCAACACAGATCCCATGTTTCGTCTTTTTTACGCGATTTACGGCTAGTTTTAGAACGACGTGCGCAAACATTTTTTCGACGCAAGGAAATAGCGTCGTCGATGCGTCAATTCAAAACGCGGTTCGGACTTCGCGCATGCTCAGTGGCGACGACGATATTCCTTGGCATGCGCGAAACTCTTGCATACGCTATTCTAATGCTCGCTATTCACAGTTCACTCGGGATCACGAAAAGTTTGTGCTCTTTACGTGGCGGAATGCTCACGCGCTCAAGAAATAGGGTGAAACCCCTTGTCAGGTCTGTGGCCTTTGGCGCCACAATTTTCCCAAAGATCTGCAAAAAAAAAACAACCTTGAAATGTGTTTTGTCTGCGAGCAATTCCAGCATCCTACATACACTGTTGCGGGTTCAGACTAGTAGGAGAAGCCCCTCCCACGAAGCTCTCTGCTCGCCGTGATTGGTTGTCTCCTCCTCTCCACTCGCCTCCTCTCCAGCGTTCGCGCTGCTTAAGTGGAAAGGGCGGAGGGCTTTGCGGGAAAAGCTTCACGTATGTTCCTAATGATGCAGCAGTCTCTATAGTAAGCGAACGAAGCGTATATTCAGGAGCAAAACAAATAAATGAATTGGTAAAAAGAAATACATATTTCTATACGACGCTCATAAACCCGTCAGAAATATAAATCTTTCCTAAACATGTCTGTAATTAGTTTTATAACTGAATGGCCGTGACTGGCACCTTTCGCCCCATAGTGTATATCGGGACTCTTCCATACTAGTTCGAATATTAGGGAGTTTTAGTGGATCGCTCCGATACCTCCCATAACGACACGATGCACATGGCAAAAGAGGCAGCAGAGTAACGGGTATCGTCGGGGGGGGGGGGGTGGGGGGGGGGGGGGGGGGGTTACCGAAACACTTGCTAAAGCTCTCCAATGCGCGTGCACCACTACTATCGTGGTGCTACCTTTTCAATGCGGATTTTTTCTTCTTCGTTTATCTTACTGCATGCACCGCTAAAACCACACAGAAATATTGCAGCTCTATCGAACTAGGAGAATTAGAAATTCACTTCTTTCTATTTGCGCTGTTGAACCCATCATCGTAAAATACAAGAATATGAAACGGCTCGAAAGGAAGCATGTCTGGCAGAAATCTGCCTATCTCGCTAATCTCGTCAAACACAAAGATCATTTGTGTTATGACATTGTGGTTGGAAGAGCTGAAAGATTGCAGTGAATTTTTCTTTTCTTACAAGCCGAACAAGAGCGGCACAAGAGAGTGCGCCGAGACGACCGTGGTTCATACGTGTGACGTCACGGCAAACATTATCTATCAGCTGCGACCGACACTTTGGTGGTCTCTAAAATGCGCGGCGGTGGCTCGAGGTGCTTGCATTTTAAAATCGACACCGCCGAAGTTGAGAGTCTGATATTGTTCTTATTTCAGCCGATAAAGCAGAATTTACTGAGAAACGTCCCTGTTTTACGATAACGAAAGAGGGATACCGAAGACAAACGGGCGTGGCACTTTACCTCCTGCGCGGACGATGTCCTTCGGGGCTCTTCGCGTGCCTTCTGCTCGCCGCGAGCGAGTACGTCCTGTGGCGAAACCGGTGCTGCGCCGTGGGACAGGGACGGAGGCTGCGCGCGCTCTGGCCGCTTCTGTTCAGGCTACGGCGGGAGCTCGTGTCCCACCTCGAGGCGCAGCTGTTCCTCCTCGGAGAGCAGGAGTTCCTGCGGCGCTGGTCCTGCCGATACCTACACGTGCACAACTCTCGCATTGAACTCCGTTTTCAATATGTTGATCATATCTAGACCGCGTTAGGCGGAGAAAGGGGGAACGGGACGACGATGCGGCCCTCTCTTTGAGGCGTCGCAGGGTCGGGACGTGCGGGCACAGTACCGGTTGGGGGGCCTCTTTGCGCGAGTGATGGCGCGGACGGGCGCTTTGCCGAGCGGTGGGTGCGTGCCCGCGCCTTAGGCACGGGGTTGGCTAGCTTGAAAGACTATATACTGTACATAGCGCGTTCTGAGGTTTTGGTTTTGTTATGGGCATGACACCACTGTTGTAAATAAAATTTTCTAAACAAAAGACAATACAACACACGAAAGCCTGGGTTGCTTTTTGCCTTCAATGTCCCTCTTTCGTTATCGTAAATGAGAAACCAGCACGCTTAAACCTCTACACGTCCCTGCCGTTTGTTTCATTTCTCTCGGCAGTTTGGATATGATCAAAGAGTAGCCCCACGCGCTAAGGTCAAAACCAGCCGAGTAGCGTCGTCCGCTTTTGGGCGGATTTCCCCGCAGGGCGCCCGATCGGCGGGACAAAATAATTTTACAGCTTTCTACAGCGGAGCTTGTGGGATTCTAGTTTACCCCAATGTCCTCAGTGAGACAAGTAGCCACTTTGTAACTCGTCGGTTGCAAAAGGTGGGTTTCGACTTATTTTGCTGATCGCAGTGAGGCAACACCCACTGCGTAGTCCGCAGCTATGGCGGCTACGGCCGGGTCCGTCCGTTGACTGCCGTTAGGCTCCGGTGGACGGGAGACCACACCAAACACAGGGATACCGTAGGAACATGTTTATTGGCCTTACGCCACACGCTTGCGCCCTTAGGCGGAACGAAAGAGAAATAAGGTTGGCGCTGCGTTAATTGACAGCATCACCAGGAGGAGGGTCCGCGCTGCCGTAACTGGTAGGATCACGGAAAAAGGGGGGAGCAGGAAAATAACGATAAATGCTCCGTCGAGTGTAGCTCCCCCTAACCAAGAGCCCCGGCCAGAGAGGAAGAGATGTCTTGTAAAAAAGGAAAAACCATCGTTGGAGTTACAGCCATGGGCCGAACGGTCATCGTTGGATGAGCCCCGGCAACAGGTGGTGGCCGGCTTATGTAGCCTCCGGGAAATGAACTCGCCCGGGGAGGCCGGAAGGTCACTCGAAAAAGGGGACGTGTCCATAATCACTCCCAAGGGTGTGCCGATGGCGCGTTCACCAAAAATGGGCAAGGGAGAACCGGCCCCTTCGGGGAATTCGGCCTCGTCGTTCCTTGTATCCGGGTTTTCCGACGCCATTGGTGACGACGACTCCCACGGCCTGCTTGAAGCTAGGCCTAGATAATAATAGAGGGAACCCCATGGTTCCCACAAGCTGTTAAGGGCTACCTTCCCCAGGTTCGTGTCCAACACAAAGCAATGATGACACCGAACTCTGGAAAGCTACTGCCATCTATGGGTGACGGCGGCAACTAGGTTTCTGGTTGCCGCCGTCACTCATAGATGGCGGCAATCTTTCTTTGGAGGAAGGAGAGTGGGAGCGGAACGGAGCGGCGATGTGCGCAGCAGCGCGAATGGTTCCGCAACAGCCGCGAGGCCGCTATCGCCTGAAGTTACACTGCGTCGAGCCCTTCAGGTACCCTTGCGAAAGAAGAGCAGATCGCTCGCCTGGAAAGCGACCGCCGAGAACAGAAGCACGGCCACTCGATTAGGACTCCCCTTGGGAGCGGCCTGCCGTATGCTTCACTCCGCCGGTGAGAGCGATAGTTCAAAGACAGAGTTCCTTTCGGGGGAGCATATCGAGGAACTCTATACTTCGTTTCACGTTAGTATGTACGCATGTACTTGTCAGCCGCGCGTGCTAAAAGCGCGAGATAGTTGCTTCGAAGGAAGCCTCGGCGGCTGCATGAGTGCTCGCGCAGCGAGTGCTCCGGTCAAGGCAGTAAAGGCTAGCCGCTCGCGCTTGCACAGCGTTCGCGGTTAGTCCATGCTAAGGTAAGACGAAATATAGTGAGAGAGGAGCAGTACGCCCGGCCCGGCCCAGTGTGGCTATTTACATTTTTTCTTTCGTGAAACCGCAAGTCTCATTTGAAACGAGTGCCAGATTGCATGAATGATGTGACAAATCTGTGTAGAATAAAAGCACATGATTCTTTCTGCGAAAAGGTCACTCAGCTGTATGCTGCGCGTTAACGCTGCATTCTGCTGGCAGTATGAGCGAATTGTAGTTTTCTTGTTCCCGTAAGTGTTGCCCCGTTTCTATTACCACTTTAATATAGGAGTTATAGTTGGATATAGGTAGGCCGTGTGATTTCCGGTTTTAACCGACGCTCGAGAACGCGCGAGCTGTGCCATTTATTCATCTGTGAAGGACAATATAAAATCGGATTCCGCGTGCATAACTTCAGCATTATAAACTTTATCGTTCACAAAAAACAGACCAAGGGAGTCATTTAGTTCACAAGCGGAGTACCTTTCGGGAAAAAGGCTTTCGCAAAAGCCTCAATATATTCTCTAGTGGGCTGTTTAGGTCACCAGCCCAGTTTGCCAAAAATGTCTGAGGAGTTTTCTGAGAAAGAGCTCGCAGAGCTCTTCGCTGTGGTAGGGGTCTCGGCAGTTAACACACCACATCAGCGGGGAGTCCATAAGGTGTGGAAGCACAGCGCTCGAGAGGACCTTGCAAATCCTTCCACAACCACGAATCTCTGCCGACTGTAGAGCCCTCTCGACAAAGGTGCAGAGAGCTTGCACAGCCAGACAGCTTCAGGTCGTGGATAGCTGAGTCCTCCTTGGTCAAGGCTAAACATGGACTGATATGCTCCGTCATGTGATGCATTTCCCTTAAGGTGCGCTGGCACTCAGGACACGTCACCTGCAAAGTTTAGCGGGTTCTTCACATTAGCCTTCCTTGCTTTCACTGAGAAATTCTTATTGCTTTGCTAGGTTGAATGTTTCAGCTAATTACTTTGAAATTACGACAATTTCTACAAATAAAAAAGGTCACCTTTTGTTCGCAAACGAAGGCCAAGTAGCCAGCCATGTAAGTCAGCGGTGCGAACTCAAGTTCGGAAGAGACTTTATTGTACTCCATCAACTGCAGGATTTCCTGTTTCACAAGTGGAGTTGGCACATTTAATCGCCGTCTGGCACTCAGAACTAGAACGCGCATTTACATTTCCGGCAGCTTCCAAAATGCCAACACAAACCACACACGCAAGCGCAGAGCCTTCAC